TTGCTTATTCTGATGCCATAGGGAGGACAACTCCAGTGTCCTGCCAGAACCTACTCTTGCTGATTCTAGGATTGCTTCAGATGTGAGAAGGTCTGGGAGCCTTCTCTTTATGGCAGTTTTATGATGAAAGATATAAGTGATTCTATAAGGTGCCTGATGTGCTTTCACCTAATGATTTATCTGTCCCTTGGCATCCCTTCAGCATTTCAGCAGCGTGTTTAGCACTGCAGAAGGGATCACAGCAACACATGCCCAACGTTTGTGTTAATTATTCTGGTAATGCATCCCAAAAGGGATGGAGTTCTGAGCAGGTGGACTTGCTTACGGCAACTGCTGTAAGTACAGAGGAAAAGACAACAGAAACGTGAAGACGTGTGGTGCTTTAATCCTCGGTTACACATGGCGTGGCCAAAGATCAGCTCTTGAGGTGGAGATATCAAGTGTAATCTGGATTTCATGTTGCAGAAGCCAGAATTAAGCACTGTTTAACGATGGGAAGGAATTTGCTGGGCCTGCCTTGAGACTGGTGCCTCCAGAAGTACTGGGTTTGGGGGGGAGATGATGCTCCCCATGAGCAGTCCCCTTGGGGCAACAGCAGAGCGAGTTACCCACGTACAGAACACAGGCACCAAAAGGGCCTCCACGTGTTGGACTCCTGAGCAGCAGGTACTAAGGGACACCCTGGAGTTGTTAGAAAGGAGAAGAAACAGTTATTGTAAGTACAGGAAGGCTAAAAGTAGGATTGATTTTTGCTTATATAGAAAACACTGCTATGTAACAATTAGAAACACCAGCTAAAAATCCGAGGGTAAAAGATGTTTCCTGCAGAGGGAATGATGTGGAAACCTGCCTCTTGTGCCTTGCTAATCCTGATAGTGACTTTGCTGCATCTTACTCCTCCTCATCCAGAAAGACGTGTTAACGTTTATTTGATTTCTACACACAGACACACACACGCATATATATACATATTTTTTTTTAACCGCAGGAATCACCAACCCAGTGTTTGCACTTTAAAGTGTGGAGGGTCCTTTACCCCTACGAAATGCCCTTCTCAGAGCCTGTTTCAAATGCCCATTTACAAGAAAAAATAAAAATAAAATAACCAAGCAGTGTAAGTAGGGCATAGACATCGAAAGTGAAGCGAGAGAAATAGATTACTTATTTTTAAACTGTTCTCCTGCAAAATTGGAGATGATCCTGTGGGAAATTCCTCGGTAACATTAAATGAGATGGGGAAGGCAGGAGACAGGCTAATTATTAGTGTGTAGCCCATTTTGAGGCCTCATTTGATAGTATTTTTGCTAAGAGTTTCTGCAATTTTTCAGGCTGATGAAAACCTCATAGAAAGTTTGGTATTTATTTATTTATTTAGCTGTTTTTCTGGAGGTATATAAACAAATTAAAAGCAGAATTTTTAATGGGACAAAACAGGTAGGTTATTTGCTTCCTAAACTCCGGGAAAGTGGTTAGTATTCCAACTTGTTTTACTCAGGTTCTTAATAAATCCACATTTATTTATGGGTGCTTTTGTGAGCCGCCCCGTGGTTCATGCGGCCCGCAAGCCACAGCCCAGGGGCTCCCAAAGGGCTGCAGCTGCGTGAGAAAGTTTCATGCGGCCAAGTGAAGCAGATGGCTTCAGAAAGCAGCAGCTGGCGTGGAAAACACAAGTTCTGCACAAGGTTCCTCCTTGGCCCCCGTGTGCTGGGGTAGTGCTCTTGTTTTGCTGTGTTCGCAAACGTGGCCTTTCCATCCTCCGTTTTTTATCCTCAACTGTAGCAGCAAACGACCCCGTCTGGGAAGTTCGGAGAGCTGCAGCAGTTGTGGTGATTGGGCACCCAACAAAACTGTTACTTTTGCTCTGGGTGACCCATGAAGGAAGCGCCAGTGGCCAAAAAATAAAAGGCTAATTGGGGACCCAAAAGCACGCAGCTACTTGACTGTAAGTGAGGCTTCAATTTGCTGCGTTTCAGAGATAAAATGGCTTGAAATGAACGCTCTGCTTTGCAGCAAGAAATTATTTTGTCTCTGTTCTCCTTTAAATTTCTTTTACCAGTGTCTTTTTCTCTGCAAGTTCAAATAAGGACGTTCTGCTAGAGCGCAGTCGGGCGAATAAGTTGGAAAGGCTGAGAGAGGCTTAGAGAGGCTCTCTCACTCTTAAGGTTGAGAGAACTGGGCCTGTTCAGCCTGAAGAGGAGAAGACTGAGGGGGAACCTGATCAGTGTGTATAAATGCCTCAAGGGAGGCAGTGAGGAGGAGGGGACCGGCCTCTTTTCAGTGGTGGACAGCAACAGGACTAGAGGAAATGGCCGCAAGCTGAGGCACCAAAAGTTCCACAGGAACTTGAGAAAACGCTTTTTGACAGTGAGGATGACAAAGCACTGGAACAGGCTGCCCAGGGAGGTTGTGGAGTCTCCTTCTTTGAAGATCTTTAAAACCCGCTTGGATGCAGCCCTGTGCCACGTGCTCTAGGTGACCCTGCGTGTGCAGGGGGGTTGGACTAGATGACCTCTGAGGTCCCTTCCAACCTTAGACATTCTATGATTCTTTAAAAAAAAAAATGGTTTTGTTGATAGCAGAGTAGACTACATTGATAGGCATTTTCTTCACTTTTATCTAATTTTCTCTTAAACATTAGAAAAAAACAAAGGTACCTTCCGCATGGAACACTATTAAAGGACTTAATTGCCATTAAATTCTGTTGTGCCTCCTCTGTTTAATACTTGGTTGTGCATAGCACGCACAGACTCACTGCTCCATCCCTGCCTCATCTCTGTGTGAGCTGGAGTTCGTGCACTGATCCAGGGCCGCCTCAGAGAGAACAGGCGAGAGGAATTAAAGGCGATAAGAGAAGTTCTCATTAGTAGTCCAGTACTGGCAGCTTGAGCTGCTTTTTTCCCCCCTTATTAGACTTGCTGGGATTCCAAGGACGCGTGCGGGAAAGGTCTTGGAAAAAAAAATGAGCTGGTTGCCTTGCATCCATTCCTTACCTTTGCCATCCGTACTGAAACGCTGCTCAGTCTAACTAGAGCACGAGCTTATGGCCATGGGCTACCTGAGGCTTCTGATTTCTTTGCATACTTTCCAAACTGAGAAGAAATGGGTTTGTGTAATGTATATATGATGAATCGTGATAAGCAAACCCCACTGCATGTTTTTAGGAGAGGATGTCACAACTTGTTTTATAAATGGTGCCTGTGGTTAGGGTTTTGGGGGGAAATGGGGTTTTTGGGGGAAAGCTTTTCTCATGTTACCTGGTAAGCAAATGAAGGCAGTTTTTATCTCCCTCTTCAAGTTGGGTAACAGGGGGACTTTGAAAGAGCCTGAACTCCAGGTGAAGCTTCAGAGACCCCCGTGTAATAATAAATCAGCAAACGATGGATTTTCTGTTGGACCTTTCTATTGGAAATGTGAGGTAAAGGAATTGATTCATTCCACACTAATAGTTGCCAAATAAAAATCACCCTTTTCCATGTCACTCTAATAAAAGGATGGAGTCAAGTAGATGGTTATCAGCTCATGTATCAGAGTAGTGCAAAATTGGAATATTTTTGTACTGACTTGCAACTTGTACTTACCGTGGAGTTTCCTGATATTTTGTGAGAGTTCAAAAGCTAGAGGATAGATAAGGGGAAAATAAAAGCCAGCCTAGAAATGCTTGGGTCATGTTGCCTAGTTCTTTATAGAGCAGCAATTACCTGAGCCTGGCAGCATTTTTTAATACATTTGCATGAAATTGCAGATGTTCTCCGGCTGCTAATTTTAACAAATGAATTGCCTTCCACACTGGGAGCTACAAGGCAATGAGCTGAAGATAAGATTATTACATGCTACTAGACTCAAATTAACATAGTTCCTGTAAGGGGAAGTTTTATATGTCAAGATTGTAAAAGACCTTTGTCAGAGCTCGTGAAAACGGAGATTTGCGACTTGGATCATGCAGCAGATTTTTTCAGGTGAAGTTGTCAGAGATCAGGAATTGCATATTAAAAAGAGAAAGCAAATGGTTCTTAATTGGAAAGAGGTTGCTTTATAAGCATCCCCTCCTCCCCCCCAAAAATTGCATGTATAATATTGACAAAAAATCAAAGCTAGGTAAGATAGCCAGTGGAGCTCAGTATGAGTAAATGCAATAGAAACTTGTATTTAAATTGCAATTAAAGTTCATTAAACCTCTGTATGGATGCTGTAAGAAAGAAATAAAGTGGTTATAGTTCATTTATGGTTCATCACAGGGATCTGTGTAGGAGCCTAATTCACTTAGAATTCCCATCTCCAGGTTACTTCTCACTGTACGCCCCCTGTATCCATATATTCTCTCTCTGAGTCAGGGTCCATGTAAATGCCTGCAGTCAAGTTCAGTTCTGTAATTTGTCATCTATAGCGCGGAGGTTTTTCATAGTAATAACGTGAGCGGCTAGACATTTTGTAACAGATTTAAAAGCTGGGAGCTTGGCCTGACTGTTCTAGAGCCACAATTTATATCCCTCCCGATGAGCAGAAAGATGCTGATATTTTTTTTCTTGAAATTGTTCCATTCTGCAGAATCTCCTTAGCAATTTGAAGACTGTAAAATACAGCATGAATGTAAAATTTAAAATAATTTTAAAATAGACATGGCGGCTTATAGTTAAATCAACAGAACCCAAGCGGTTCAGGAGTAGATGGATCTTGAGCATAGGTGCAACCTCGCGCTCCAGCGTCCCGCAAAGATGGTGGGTTGTGTTGAATAAATCACAGCTAAAGTGACGCCCATGAAGAGGGCACCAAGTTCTCTGCAGTTGAATGGAGCTTCTCACAAAAACACAACTCTTTTATGGAGAATATATACGTACAAACTATGTGTTTATTTTCTTTTCACATGTTGTAATTCATGACCCCCCACAAAACTTAAACGCGGGCAAAAAATATTTCTTCCACAGGTGCTTGAATGGTATTTGAGTGTATTTAGGCACTGACCTGATCTTTCTGTGATGCAAAACCTCCTTCTTGTGTTGTAGGTGAAAAATGACTACATGTTAGAAATAGCAGATCAAGTGGAGCAGGAAATTGCTTTGAAGCTGGGTTGCCTCGAAATCCGGTAAGCTGATAATTTCATTTATTATTCAACATGTTTCTGATGGCTACATGTGAATTTTGGAATGGCTTTAGTTCTCAGATTTCTTTGCGGTATAACCGAAGAAAACACCAAAAAGCTTTTTTTGCTATAGTAATTGGAAGGAAAAAAAAATAGAATCTATTGTAACTAATTCTCGTGATTTTTGAATTAAAGTTAATAGTAAAATTACAATTAACTATCTCATGTTACTGCTTTGTGGGGTGAAATTTTCAATTGGATAATTCGAAGGCCTGTAAAGTATTGTGTAGTAAAATCAACCTGAGATGTGGGCAAATAGTCTTGTTGGGTATCTATGTGTGTTACAGCTGCTGTAATTAGAGATAAATGGTGCTAGGACTTCTCTGTGCATTCCCTTGATTTTACATCTGCTATTTTAAAAATTGCTAAATGCTAAACAAAAAATAGCTGAAATAGCTGTTATAAAACTTATAAATATGAAAATAAAATAGCTAAATGAACAAATGGCTAAGGAAGGGTAAAGCATCCTTTTTTTTTTTTCTTTATAACATTTTCAGCTTTCTTGTCAACTGTGCAGACAGTTGGAAAGTAAAGCTAAGTTTATGAGCTGAAGTGATTCTTGAGTAGGTTTTCCCGCTTGGTTTTAGCTGATCTATGGCAACTTTCCAGCCTGAATCGTCTGATTCGGTGATGCTGTTGTCTTGTGCAGATAAATTAAGAAAGGAGTAGAATTTCTAAGAAAAAATGGCAATGAAAACCTGTTAGCAAAGGAGAAAGGTCTCATTTGAACAACAGTTTTCCCAAATGGAAAAAAACCAACACTAATGCTGGTGCAGAGGTGTAGGAGATAGGAAGGAGGTGCTAAAAGATGCATTAAATCACTTTTCACCTTGGCAGGGTGCTTTGAGCTGCTGTAAAAAGTGCTGCTGGAAATGCAGTATTGGTATTATTTTTTGTCTCATTCCTGAAATCATTTTGTAAACTAAATCCCTGGTTGATTGAGGTAGGATAATAATGTTGTAATATTTATTTGAATTCATTCTACAGCTGGTTTGAATTCATTCTGCATATGGTGTCTAATGGTCAATCACAGAAAAATCTGGATATCCAGATACGGCAGTTTTAGGTTGGGTCATCCAGTAATCGTTACTTTCCCCTGTTTTTCCTGCCTTCAGGAGATCCTACGGAGAGATGAGAGGCAACGCATTAGAAAAGAAATCCAACTATGAAGTGTTAGAGTAAGTACTGTGCTCTGGATTGAGTTGCTTCTTAATCAAAAATATGAAATGTGGCACAATAAAAGAAAGCTGTTGTTGCCCTTTTATGGTTCTTGAAGCTTTGTGAGATCTGCAAGCGTATTTTAAGTGAGTGAAAGACAATGAAATTCTTCCAATTATAGAGACAGAGGGAGCCTGTTCGACTCTGGACAAGAGAAGTGAAGTTGTTAAATTTGATAATGGGGATATTGGTGTGGTTTTGTTTCAATTTTGCTGATGCTTATGGGGTCATCAAGTCCAGCTGATTTTGTTCCTGATTTTCTGCTGCATTCATCACCTGTGACTAACCTGTTAAAATGTGAGTTTCTTGAGAAGTCTGTGGTATCATTTTGCCTTATTTGTTAAGCATGTGGTTTTGTTGCATTGTGATCCTACAGTTTACCCATTGATTAGGTATCTGTGAACCACAAGTTTTAAAGAAGCATCCTTGTACTAAAACCGTTGTAGTTACTCAGTGTTGCTGTATGTTAGATGGCTTCAACACAGACAGGCTGAGGAACTTCATAAGTTTTGTACATTGAAGATTGGTTTCAGTGTTGTTGATGTAGCTCTGCCAGATTTGTCCATTTTCATGGAGTATTTTGGAGGAGTTTCAGCTTCAGTTCCAGCCTTTGAATTTTGCCTGGACTTGTGTGTGGCTGGAATCTCTAAATATTTAGTCTTTAGTGGTAGATATTCCAGAGTAAACTTGATGGAGACATATTTTAGGGTTAGAAACCCCATTTTCTTAATCTTTGTAAATGGAAAGTAGTGTTTCCTTTGAAAATTAACCAGTTAATTTATAAGAACAACATGGTTTCTATATAGTGTTCCTGTAATTGCACAGTATTTATGCAATTACATTGTTTAAAATGAGAATTTTTGAAGGGTTTCATTTAGTTTAATGTCTCAACCAACAATAGAAATATATCTCAGTTAAAAATATAAATAATTGAGAAAGGAATAATAAAGATGAACAGCATGAACAGAGAGAAAGAGTTAAAATGCAATATTAAAAAGATAGGAGAACAGTGTGATCTGAAATTCTCATGTCATCCTCTTTGAAAGAAGAGAGTTGGTGAGATTAATGACTGTCTGTTGGCGATTCACCTTGAGTCTGGAGGATGAGTTAAAACAAATGAGATGAGGCAAATAAGAAGTGATGGTTACAATTTCCATATACTTCATGTAGGACTTTAGAAAGGTATTTTTGAGTCCCTTGTTGGCCACCCGTTAAAGTATCAGCATTTGTTATTAGGATTATAATTTCAAAACAAGTGAGATGCAGGAATTAAGATTTAAAACATGTGATATGCAACATTAAGAATTATAACACATAATAGGATCTTTAGGGTCCCAAATGGGGGTGGCTTCTAGTCTAGCACTGACTTCTTCACCCTGCAACATGTGGTTTGGTAGGTCTTCAATTAATGGCTCTTTTGAAAGAGGGGGACAAAAAGAAGCAAATATAATGTACAGACTTTAACAACTTATTTCTGTGCAGGACTAGAAAAGCAGGATTTCACACTTAAGGATTTTTTATTTGTTTGGGGACTGGGGAATTTTCTTCCTCCATTTTTATTTTAGAAGCAAAATATATTTTGTAAAGGATTCAACTGGGAGAAGTGAAAGATAAAGGCACCATAAAGGAGCTGCAGATAATTACAAGCTAATGAGAGCCTTCAGAACGTGCCAGTAATCCCCCAAACTCACTCATTTGATCTTAACCATCTCAATGGCCTATAGAGGTTTTCTTACGTTTATTTTTCAGGGCTTATTGTGTCTTGTTTTGTTCGTGTTTTTACTGCTGTCAGCGGCTTGGGTTACCTCAGGAGACACTTAACCAGCTGAGAGCAATAGTAAAAAGCCCTTTTTTTTTGGCACAAGGTTGAATTGCTTTTCGCCTGTCTTTGTCCACTTGATTTATATTCATTCTTGATCAGATTATCAAATAAGACCAGATCTGGATGGGAAAAGAGTGCAGAGAATCAGGCTGCCAAGGAGCCTGTACTAGTTGGATCTTCAGACAATAAACGATGTTTTTTTATAGTAAATGTGAAGCCTTTTGCATAGAAGGAGGATAATGAGAAGGAGAAAAAGGGGAGCTCTATGAAGAGCAGCTGCACCCACAGGATTGAAAGAGTGCATAAAATCTATCTCGCTCTCCTAACGCTGCTTTTTTCAATGTACCTTTAAGATAAAAAGTATAAATAAAGGTGAATGTTGCCAGAGCTGCTTGATTGCTATATTACAAGCCCAATCATCTATCTGTAGCTGGTATTTTATTAATCCTATTGACGTTTATGTATGAAAACAGTAAAATTTTACATATGAATCCATGGGTGGGATGGAATAGACCAAGCTAAATATAAAGGAACCAAGACCTAGCTACTAATTACCAGCAGTAGGAAAATAGGTGTCTGAGGCCTTAATCCAGAGCACTGAGTTGGACTTTTTTCCCTCTAAATTGGTTCATTTTTTGCTCCTGCAACACAGGTGTGGATGGAAAAGGAGTTTGCAGGTTTTGTGATTGCCCCTGTGCTGCACCTTGGCCTGCAGTAACTGCATCTGTTGCCTAGGTAAACATAGAAAATGCCATTCCTTATATTCCCACGAGGATTCCTTCTGGATTTGCTACATGCACAGCTACCCCACGAGTCTCGAATTGAATCTATGGAGAAGAGGAAGACGGGAGGGATCCTGGGTGCTCATTTTTGAAGCCACCTCCTCTTGCTAAAATGCTTAACATTAAACTAACATGTTCCTTGTCAGAATGTCTTTGCATATTATGGAGACAGTAATAACATGTGCTGGGTGTATTTCATGGTGCGGGTTGATAAACGACCTATAATTTGCATTTGAGAAGAAATGCATTAAAGGACTTAACATTTATGGAAGTTTTATAAGCTTTTTGCAGCTTAGTGTCACAGCTGTATGTGAATACGCTGCTTCTTGGAGTTGAGGGAGCTGTTAGTATGTATTGTAAATACTGTAGGTCCTTAGTTTTAAAAATAGCACTTTTAATTCTTATATTTGGAGGTTGAATTTAATGTTGGTTTTCCTTCTTGTGTTGCAAGGGAGCATTGAAAATGTGCTGCATTTTTCACGTTGGCTAACAGCTTTTTTTCCTTTGTTAAATATTTCAGTTCCATTTGAATTTCTTTTTCTGTGCAAAGCATGCAGCCGTGGAAAGGTATCTTTCATTCTCATTTTAAAGATAGCAAAGGGTCGTTGTTTCAGAGAGATCATAACCCCTTCGCCACATGAAAATAAAAAAGTTTTCTGTAACACCGAGAAAGCAACAAAAAAAACCTTTTTCATTTGAATTTTTTCTTACATTTTTTCTCTGTCCCTTGGCAATTTTATGCTAAAGCTTGCATTTAGTTTTCTGCTCATGCAGTATTTGATTTATATTTCAGTTTATGCTCATGCCTTTTGCTAACAACGTTTGTCTTTTTGTTTCAGGAAAGACGTTGGCTTAAGACGTTTTTTCCCGAAGAGTTTACTGGATTCAGTAAAGGTAATTACAATTCCAGTTCTTTGTGTGCTCTTGCAAAACCAAATGTCCTTCAGAAATCAGGAAACTGCATCACCCTGTAGTTTCCCTGTAGACTCGTGAGTTGTTTTAAACTTCTGTTCCAGTAGGAAAAAAAATCAGGTGAGTCTTAAGAAATGGATGAGAGAGAGATCCCCTAGTTAAACAGCAGATGAACAACTGGAAGACAGGAAGGTGCTTCGCAGACAGAAGTCAGAAGGGACTCCTCAGCTCCTTTGAAAATAACAGATTTCCCTTCTAAGAGAAAAATGAGACTTTTGGAGAATGGGGAAGGGGACACATAAGAAAACACTCTGTTTTGGGGACAACTGGATGGACCAAATGCTGCTTTCCTTGCTCTCCACTAATTCCAACTCTCACTTAAGAAAGATTTCCAGCAATTTCTGCTCATGTTAACCGTAGTTAGACAACAAGCATTAATTGGATCTCATTTCCACTGAAATCCCTATGTTCCCTGAGGAAAAAAATGCAGATTTTTCTCAGCATGTTAGGAACAAGGAGCTAAGAATTGTCACCAACTAGTTTTGCATCATTAGCCTTCTTAGTTTTAAAATCGTAGTAAAATCTCTGCTGTTAGAATGGGAGTAAACAGTGATAAACTCATGATTTAGAAGTGATTTTGGAAAGCAGTGATATGTTTATGGAGGATTTAGTTAGGGAACTTAATGTTCATGTAGAGCATTAATCATTGTGATGTAAGTGGAAGGGTAAACATAAAAGGTCTCTCATGAAGGGGGTTTTGCTTCAAAAGACATTTTAAAAAATAACTTGCAGCTCAGTGAATGAAGAACCTATTTTAATTTAAGGAATTATATAGGTCTGTATTCCCTACTAAATGCGCAAATTGTGGTGACAGGCTCCTCACCTAAACAACAAGCCACCTCCAAAAATAGTGTTAGAGGAGCCAAGAAACCCTGATCTTTGGAAATCAGGAAAGAAAAGAGCAGAAGTAGCAAGAACTACCAGAAAGTCCAGCTTGCACAGATAGTCATTCTAAAAAGTTAGAAAAAATATGGGAAAGGGAAAAATGGTACCACTTTTCAGTGAATATTAAGGACTTATTAAACATAATCCAGGATTTCTTCAAATAATTAAATGAGTCTTCCACTCTGCAAGACTGGTGGCTCTCCTGGTAGAAATTCCAGCTTTTTTAGGAAAGGTCATTAAAGCAATGAGTTTAGAGACGCTGCTATATTAGCTCATCACGTGTGGACTGTAAGACATGATGTAAGGCTGTAAACGGGACAAGTGCAGACCAAAGAAGGCTCTGGGGAGGTTTTTCCCCAGCTAAAACATTGAAACCCAATGTGCTGCATTTGTCTTTGTTGCAAAGATAGATGTGGTCAAGATAGAGTAGCTCAGAGAAAAACACCAGCCTCAGAAAGAGGCAGTACTAAAGGTAATTTATTTGTTTGGGGTTTTTTTGTCATCCCATGCAGCTACTTTAAGCACAAGCCAGGCTTTGGCAAGGGAAGACAAGAACAGCTGTGCCTGTGGCTTGGCATTTTGGCGTTACATGATGTAAACAGTGGTGAAGGACAGTGAAAGGGCTGGCTCGGCGCACACCATCCATACGCTTTTGATTAGGGCGCGGGAGAGAAGCTGCTGCGCTTGTGCTGCCAGCGTCTCCATGAATCCAGGCATCCAGGGACATTTATTCCAGTTTCTTGATGCCTCACACTGTTTTGCCTAGCCAGAATTACTCATTAGGGCATTGATGGGGCATAAGAAAGCAGTCATTTTGCACATTTGGCTTATAAGCAGACAAATAGACTTTTTTTTAATAACATATCTTCAGTTATCTAGGAAAAAAAGAGTTGCTTTCAAGTCTGCTTGTATCCTATATATGCTTTATCTTCCAAGCATATGTAATCATGTCTGTCCTGCTATCCCAGATATGTGCTATTACTATATAACTATGTAGCTATATATGGCCATTAATAGGATGACTTGTGCTGCTCTGCTTAGGTCGTTACTGAAAACAATTAAGAAAGTGATAAACAATAGTTAACACCTGCAACTTTTAAATGTTTACTTTCCATTGATTTTTTACTTTACTTGTAGCTGATTTTATTTATTTAGTTTCATTTATTTATATGAAAGTTATTTTGCATATTCTGAGATTCTGAGAATTCAGTATGGGATTGTCTGTATTACTCATCAGCTGCAGCGGAGAGCTATTCCTGTCACATAAGAAAATAACATTTGATGACATAAATAAAATTAAGACCTAATATGAAGTATGTATATGTTGCATAGCAGCAGTCTGTTGTTCATATTGTGAAGCTGCTTCTTTTCCCTTGACACCTGTCTGCTGTGTTTCATTGGTCAAGAAACCATTGTTGAGGTACCAAATAGCTGATACTTCTCATATACAGAGAATCAGTCTGGTTAGAATGTAAAGAATTCATCTTTAAACTTCTTAATACACAGGCCAAAACACTACGAAAATTAATCCAACAAACGTTTCGACAATTTGCCAACCTCAACAGAGAAGAAAGCATTTTGAAATTCTTTGAGATCCTCTCTCCCGTGTACAGATTTGACAAGGAATGCTTCAAATGTGCCCTTGGGGTAAGTGTGTGATGGGGACAGCAGTACACGGGCTCTGCTTAGGAGGCTGGTTGGTTTTGCTCAGTCCTGCATGTGATTGCTTGCTTAGTTCATGCTTTCATTTCAAGAAGAATCCCTGGTTTTTGTTAACAACAAAATATTCCCTTCTCTCACTTTTGAAATCCTGGCCTCTCTTCCTCCTTCAACCCTCAAGTCAAGCTGGATTATTTCGGTGGAGCTTGCAATCGGCCCGGAAGAAGGAATCAGTTACCTGACGGACAAGGGCGCTAACGTAAGTCTCCTTTTGGTTTCCTCTCTCAGTTTAATGCCTTAACAAGCTGTTGAGTTGACCATGGCCTCTGTGAAGTGGAAAAGAAGAGGATGGAAGGTCTCATCCTTGAGTTCAAATAGCCAGGGAATTCAACATAATGTAGAGCGACAAAGATGCTGAAGGGACTGGAGCGTCTATCTTAGGAAGAAAGACTAAGCGAGCTGGGCCTGTTTAGCGTGGAGAATAGAAGACCGAGAGGAGATCTGATGGGCTTAGAGGAGATCTAATGTCTTAAGTACCTGAGAGGAGACAGTAGGGAGGAAGGGGCCAAGCTCTTCTCAGTGGTGGCCAGTACAATGGTGCACTGGGTACAGACAAGGTGCAATGGGTGCAAGTTGAAACACAGGAAGTTCCATCTGCATGTGAGGAGGAACTTCTTTACTGTGAGGGTGACAGAGCCCTGGAACAGGCTGCCCAGGGAGGTTGTGAAGTCTCCTTCTCTGGAGGTCTCTTCCAAACCCTCCTGAATGTGACCAGGTACCCCATGCTCTGGGTGTCCCTGCTGGAGCAGGATGGTTTGGACTAGATGATCTCTAGAGGTCCCTTCCAAACTCAACCATTCTGTGATTCTGTAAAAAGGTTATTCAGATATTAACTCACCATGTGAGAGCAAAATATTTGGGACCTTACCACTGGGATTTCAGTTGAGCAATATTTCCAGCTCCCATTGAAACTGAATTAATTTAGTTTGATTTTAGTTTTAGTTTAGCTGATTCATTGAACCTGAATTAGAGATGGTGAAGAGCTCTGCTCTCTTTTCTGTCTTGACATCCAAGAGTTTGTTTCCTGCGTGCGTGTAGTGTGCGTCCAGTGTTACTCAACACTGACCTCTGTAGGCAAACTTGGTACTTGGCTTAATTTTGCCATTATTTGTAAATACTGTTACCCAAATCCCAAAGACATTGTAGAAGGAAACAGATGGTGTGATTTGGAGATGAAGGTCTGCATACAGTTTTGCAACTTCAGTAGTAAAGCCAAAGTATTTTCCTGTAATTTTGCTCCACTTTATTTGTTGCCTTTCTGCAGCCAACTCACCTGGCAGATTTTAATCAAGTGCAGACTATTCAGTATTCAAATAGTGAAGACAAGGACAGAAAAGGGATGTTACAACTCAAGATAGCAGGTGCTCCTGAGGTATGGTATTCACTATTGTCATCAACCTATTTTTTGTTGTTGTCTTTTCCCCCAAAATTTTGTAATTAGAATGAAAATGTTCTGTATATTATGCTTATGCTTTTGTTTTTTATGTTATGCTTATGTTTTTATCTTTTGTTTTATGCTTATGTTTTTGTCCGCAAGCTCACTGTGGAATTTTCTACTGTTAGTGAAGTTAAGATAACTATATTATACTAAAAGAAGATCTCACATTTATACGTACAAGAAAACTGCATATATCACTGTTTTTAGCCAGCAGCTTACCAGAGATTGAAGACCCCAGAAATTATTCTTTTGATTTCTTTTTTTTTCCTCATTTTTTTTCTCACTCCTGATCTACATATGAAATTTTTTGTACCTAGAGGTAGCTTGAAGCCGTACAGAGGAGGAAGGGCATGGCAGGAACATCTAAGCAGCTTTTACTCCCATTTCCTTTTTATCAAGCATCCTGCCTAATCCAGTTATAAGCATCTTTGAGCATGGGATTGCCTCATTCTCTGTGCATAGTGCCTTGGCCAAAGCCTTCACTGACTGCTGAACTCACTCACTTAGGTAATACAGCCAGTGAATTGTATTTAAGCCCATTTTGGTTTCCAGGCATTCTGTTTAGTTAATCCATTTTTCTTGTTATTTGAAGGGGGGTAAAAGGTGATCATGAGTAGCCACAATCACTGTGATAGTCAGATAGCTTCATAGTTAAAATAGCTTTGTAGCTCATTTGTTTCTTGTACACAGTAATCTTTAATAAAGAAGATTATTTTGGAATTGTTAGCTTTTAAGAACAACTTTCTACTAATAGCTTATATATAATATACTTTACACTGTATATGATGCTTCACACTGAAGTGAATACCAAGTGGCTTGTAAAAAGAGGAAATGGGGAATATTACATAGGGCCAGAGCTGGAAGTAAAATTAGCCTTTAATTTGCTGGAAAACAGTCTGTTGCAGACAAGGACAGAGGGCAAGTTGGAGAGGATGGGTGTTGATACATTAACCTAACTGGTTTGTCTGTGTATCTGTCTTCTCCACTCTACCCCTTTTTTTAACGTTAATCTTTTAAATTGAATAGGCAAAAGAAAAAAAAATGTGTAAAAGTTCAGAAAACAGAAGAAAAAAGAAATTACGTGGAAGAGTTTTAAGGAACAAGCAGCTTTTACTGAATTGTCATGATTATGGCTGTAAAAGCCATAGCAATTTCCATAAACTGTTGTTGACCAGGAAACCCTCTGATGAGCCCAGATCAGTCTTACATTGGGGGGGAAGGTTTTATCAGCTCCATTTCTGACCTCAGTATAGCAATTTGCTAAACAGAAGGTAAAGAAAACAGATTAGGCTGGATGTACCTGTTCCAAATCTTAAGGATGGCATCTAGCAAAATGTAGATAATCTGCTATAATCCGAGGCAGCTCTTCGCTTACCCATCCTCTTCTGCCTCCTGTTTGCAAATGTGAGTGAAGTGCTGATGCAATGAGGCAGCTGTTGTGCTCGGCAGTTGCAGCTACAATAATCCCTCTTTGTTGGTGCCTTGTTTTCTCCCTTCTTCAGCCTCTGACAGTGACAGCCCCATCCTTAACCATTGCAGAGAACATGGCTGACCTGATAGACGGATATTGCCGCCTGGTGAACGGAGCCACGCAGTCCTTCATTATCAGGCCACAGAAAGGTAAGGTGATGTTTTGTCCTGGAGTAAACTCGTGATGGATCAGAATATTACAACTGTGTTGGCTAGCTGCAATATTCTGATCCATCACAAGTTACTGTCGGCTGCCAGGGTAGCTCAAACAGGAGTAAAAGACAAGAGGGAGAAGCAAAATCCTCATTTGGAGTCTGCTGCTTCTCCAGGAGGAAATCAAAGGTGGTTTTGAGTAATAATAGATGCTATTCCATAAAAAACTATTTATGATGATATTCAGGCTTTTTTTTTTCCAGCAGTCAGTACTTTATGCTGTTTTTAAACTTAACTGACAGAAGGAAACAAACTGTAACTAAAAGCACTAATGATGAAGTGTTATCTTAAACCGTGATTCCTAATGCTGGAATGGAAATTCAGGGGCATCAGTGAGCATGGATTTGGATATGATTCTGACAACTGAAAATTTTTGAAAAAAAATTTCTTCCTCACAGATATGCAAAATATCTCCATTTGTATCATGTTAGCTTTGGTAGGTGGCTGCTGAGTGTATCTCATGAAACAGAAATAAAGCAAAACAGGCATTTTATGGAATTGATCCGTTGGGGTTTTTAGTAAGCCACACGTTGGTAGCAGTGAGACGATGATGCAGGTACAGCTAATTTTTAAAGAAAAAACTATAACTAGATTTTATTAGTAAAATTTCATCTTTTGACAAGATAAAAGTTATTGGAAAGTAGGGAGGCAGAGCTGCTTAAAACTGCAAATTTCTTCCCTCGTGGAAATTAATGCAGCATTTTTGGTTCCTGAAACAAAGCATAAACTATTCCCCTCTTCTGTATCTGTAATACAAGAGACGGAACATGCATCATCATCGCCGAAAGATGCTGAACCACTGATATCATCGTCGATGAATTGGGTGCCTCAGTTGAACACTGTTCAATACTGGAAAAGAAACTGGTTCCCCTTTTCATTCACACATATAAGTACAAAATTGGGCATTTTGGGGTGTTATGAAACAGAAATGCTAAAATTTGAAGTCTCCTTTAGCCATGCTCTTGCTTTTCGTGGCACCTTTTTTTTCAACCTGTTGTTTCAGTTGGGTAATAGCATTGACATCGTTCAGGTCATTCCATAACGAACATCACAATCTCCATGTACCCTTTCTTATTTCAGAATCTGACATGTGCAACTAACTTGCAGCTCCAGCACGAGCAGCTTTGTTAGAATTTGTGTTGGTCCTGCACCCTTTTCTCCACATACCTGCAAATCCGCTGCACAGATTCCACTCTGTTAGCCAACCTAGTGTGAGGATGAACCATTGGCACCAAAGCTCAACACTGGAAGAAAAGGAGGAGCTACTAGCATCAATGATAAGACCCACTATCTGTTCCTTTGAAAATAAAATTTTTAAAGCTGCCAAATTTTTAATTTCATCCTAGGCTGATGGATAGCTCTGCCACTGACGTCATCCTCTGCTTTCTCTTTACAGGCACGCGGGTAGTTTCTGCATAAATGCCCTTAACTACCCCAAATGCCATTACTGTTTCCTTTTGGGGTGATTATTGCAATTCTGCTTTTCACAGTAACAACCCCAGGGTCATTAAAGGCTTCATCATTAAACTGTGTCTCCGCTCACCTACTGTTGTGCTCCTGTATTTGCATTTCTCTGCCAAGCCCTGCTCTGCCCTTCCCTCTCGCCCAGGCAGGGGGACAACCTCCCCATCACCATCTCTGCAGAAATTCCCTTGGCCCCCTTCATTTCCAGCCTCTTCCATGGCGCTTACAATTACCTGCTGTCTGGGACACGGAGGGCAAATGAGTCCTGAGTTCTTGCCCTAAGTGGCAAAAAAAAAAGGGTCACCCTTTAATTATTTTCAATTTGTTTCCTTCTAACATTGTCTTCCTGTGACCTGACTTGTCCTCCGGCTGTATCTTGTCCTGTAGAGTCACTGAGCTCCTTAAGGGAAGACCTCTGGGTTTTCTGTATGTTGTACAGCCCTAAGCACAGGGATGTCTTAATGCTCATAGGCACTAATGCAGAACAAACCAGTGCATTTACTGGATTGGGTTTATTTTTATGATATTTGCAGTGTGTTTTCACATAAAGCAAATGAGCAGTGATTCAGTAAAATGAACATTCACTATATGGTACTTGGGGAATTTTACTTAAAAGACTCTTTCTTTTTGCAAACATGAAGAGAATCCCTTAAATAAACTGCGTTTTTGTCTGGTTTTCCTTAAGGATGATTTCCTAGATACAGGCTGACCTAAAGCATTTGTTGTGCATTTAAAATAAGTTGTGTTTTCTTGTCTGAGGACTTTCTATTTTTATTTATTTCATAGCAATTCACAACATATTAACGAAACATTCTGCAGGAGAGCTCTCGCCACCATGAGCAGCATGCACAGAACCCTCCCACAGTGAGCTCTAATTATGGAAGGCATATCAGAAAATAATCCTTGCAGCAACTCGGGATCCAAGAATTGCATCTTTTTCATCCTCTTTGAGCCTTCCTCTTCCCTCTTTGTTGTCAGTTTATTTACTGCAAGTCTCCATCTAAATTCTCTCTGCATCTTCTCTCTGGGGCTGCATCGCTCTGCTGCTCAAGCGAGGCTAAAAGCACTCTTGGATAGCACTACTGTTTGGAGATTGCAAGAAAAAGGAGCCCGGTTTTGACAGCTCTTATTAGACCTGTCAAAGCCAGGCTCTCTTCTTCTAATTTTTTTATCACCAAAGGGAGATTAAAATGAGTTTTGTCCTCTGCGGCATGTGGATGGTAAGGGACAGCAGAAAGGAAGATAATGGGGAGTGATTGATGGGATTTTAATCACATTGGAAACTGAAGTCATGCTTTTTTTAAAAAAAAAAATATTCAGAAACTTAAAGGTTTTATTTAACTTGTCCGGGAGCCTCTGTATTCCTCTCTGTACCTGCCCATTGTTTCCTTGTCCCTCTTTTCCAGCCATACTCAATTTCTTGTGCCTGTATCACACTCTGCAGATGTTTTTTTTCCTGCCTGTTCATGCTGCTTTTCTCCTGTTCCACCACGGTCCTTCATCCCAAGATCAGCTGGGGCTGTTTCACCTGCGGAGCCCTCGGTCTGTGCCTGTTTCTGGCTGATCCAAGAGAATTTTAACTAGGAATTTGGGACATGTTTGTTCAATCTTGGTTCCTTCTTGTGTGCCCCCGTGTTACTACCCATGTACTACCTACCACTACTGCCTTTACTACTTAATACCACTTCTACTCACATTCTCCTTCTCTCATAACATGCACAAAATGGTCTACTCTAAAATGTTATTGGGATTTTGTAGGGAATGTAGGATTTCGTAGGAAATGAGATGTTCTGTTAAGATCCTTGCTTTGTATCTTGCCTCAATAGAAGGCTGTTCAGTAAATGAAACAGATTTGGAGAAACCAAATCTGGGAGAGATCTAGGAGATCTCATGATGAGAGCAACTTAATCCTGCCCTGGAAAGTTAAAGTCTATCATTATCTTTTTTATCCTTTTTGATACTTAGCAAGTGACTTAAACTTACACTGCCAGTTGCCACCTAAGGCTGTTTCTCATTTTCTCAAGGCATCGAGCTCCGTGTTTGCAGGAGAGATGCCCAGTCCAATGGGAAACTGGAATCAGTGGGAGCTGGGCTTTGAGCATATGAAATACTGTCTTCGCAGTGTTATGGAATAATTCACTGTTGTTTCCAAAGTCCTCAGATAGGATACTGATGTGCCCCATTCCAAAAACAGAGAGGAAAATTCACAAGTTCAGTCTTCAGAATATGGTTCAAATAACGTGTATTCAGTATGTCATGGAGTTACATAGTGAACGGCCAGGAAGATTATTTGGAATAGCTGGTTACTAATTGAGCACCAGTAGTTTTGATTTAGAAATACTGAAATGAAGTTTAACTTTGCAGTTTGGTAACCTTCTTTGGACAGAGAGGTTTTTATATGTGAATCATTTCCTAAACCTTTAGTAAAATTTAGGAACAAACCTGTGTTTTATCAGTGACACAGGATTCATCAGCACCATCTGAAACACTAAATCCACTGGCAAATCTAGGTCAGGTACCAGAATATGGACTAGGACATGGAGCTCAGGTGAGACTGCAGGTTCTTGAGTCTTAATCACAATCCCAGGGAGGCTTGCAGAGGACCACACCAAACTTCTATGTCTTCTTTTCCCAGTTTCATGCCTCCAAGTCAGATCCATCCACCTCAAATCTGCTCATGCTGGAATCTCTCTTCTGGATTCTCCATTCTTCTCCTCACTCATCTTTTTTGAGATGCTTTCCAGGCTTCTGGAAGCTTCTGATCCCATGCTTGTCACTCCATGCTGCCTTCCAGGATCTTTGCCTTTGATTTCCTTTCCCAAATCCTCTTGGTCTTCCATACCTTCCACAATACCTTCCTCTCCTTGACCAAAATTAGACATTTACTGAGCTGGTAAAAGGAAACATTCTGGTACAGCCACCACCTCACATCAAACTAAAATGTGTCCTTGCGCCATCAAAGAGGCACAGGCAATTTCCAAAAATAAAATACATGGATTTTTGTTTCCTTTAACATTGTAAATATTTGACCTATCCCCTAAAAATAACCCAGGCAGCCTGAAGGAGGAATTACACATGGAAACCAGTGCCCTGATTGGGAAAAGTGTGGTAGTGTTGTAGGAAACTAAGAATAGATCTTAATGACTGTAACAGGCAGCACCATTAGCGTCTTTTATCTTTGAAGCTTTGCTCCAAGTAGGCTTAAAACAAGTTAATGGTGCTGAGCCCAGCTCTGAAATTTCTTGTAAGTGTAGGAAGATATTGTACTTTGTCATAGAGAGCACATCCCATCGGTCATCTCCTATGATTTAAAGATAGACATGTCTTCCAGTTGCCCACTCCCCTCACTGCATATTTCAGTTTACCAGAAATTGTTGGTAAAGCCTTCATTAAAATTAGTAATTTCCCCATCCTCCTCCCTTACATGGGTACCGAGTGTCTCATCACCAGGAAAAACAGGAACTTCGGTTGTTTACATCCAAACAGTTCTGCAAAGTATATTGCAAACAGCTTATAAATGCAAAGTTCATCTCTGGCTACGAAGCATTACTATTTTATAATATAAACCAAATATAAAGCTGATGTAATACGTTGTGCGAGCTAATGATTTATATCAGTTGTCTGGGAGTTCAAGTTGGCTTCAATAATTTTATTTATGTTAGTGCTTAGTGCATCTTGGAGATAAAAGGGGAGCATTTATCAGGAGAGAGATGAGATCCTGTCCTGCCTTGTGCAGGTGATCTGTCAGAGTTAAACTCTTATGAATAAAAAAGGAGGTGCATATATTTTGGGTACATTTTTCTTCTGAGAGGATTTTGTCAGGAGTTCTATATCGCTGGTTAGATGTGTTGAATGCTGCTGATGAGAGAAGTTTAGAAGAATCCTTTGAATCAACATAGCTTGCCTGGGAGATTGTGGTGATTAATATTTCATGCATGTATCTGTTACACAACGAAAGAGGCTATCTGGAAACTTGAATAAAATTTTAATCCTTTTTTTTTTTTTTTGTCTCCTTACACAGAAGGTGAGAGAGCGTTACCATCAATACCAAAGTAAGTTTGATGCTTTTCTTTTTCCTATATTAAAAATTTCTTGAGAAACAGTTCTGCTTAAATGACACCTTGGGGTTTTTTTTTTGTTATATGTACTTCGTTTTTATTGCTGCTTTTGGGGTCTACAAGAACAGTGAGTAGTCAGAGAAGACCGTGGGACATAAGGGACTGGCAGAGGCATTTAGCTATAAATACACTGGACATAAAACCTAAGGAAAAAAAGATGCATAAGCTCTAGATAGATAGCAGCAAAACTAAGATGTAAATCTGTCTGGTCGCCTTTCATAATAACACTTGTTCGTTTCTAAGTTGGCACCTCTAGGTTCAACTGTAATAAAGAATAGTATTAAGTCTAGCAAATATTTTCACCTATTTTTTTAAAAAAGGTACCTAAGTAGCAGAATTTTTCTCTAGTAACAACTGAGAATGTGTAGAGAATGCTCATCTGCCTCGACAAATTAGTTTTACTCCGCCTGTTTTTATGGTGTCATTGTGCTTGAGGTACGATGACACTTGCTGGCTGCATCTAATAGTTCTTAACTGTACTAAAGCCTCTCTCTTCTTTTTCTTTTATCCATCTCTATCTCCCAGGCAAATATTAAAATATTTCTCTTTGAAATCTGTTTGAATTAAGCATGTTCCTTATGTTGCTGTACTCCATTTGATACCAATAACAAGCCTGTTAATCCTCCCTGCTGATTGTCTGTGCTACTAATGTTAGTATTGATATTTATTTCTTCTCTCTTTCCTAACTTCTTCTCTCTGGCTTCCTAAATTCCTATCCTTTTCCTGCACTGCTTTTTCATTGGTTTGCAGTCTGGTTCTTTGCTGAGTAGCCACATTCTGCCCCAATTTAAAACTCATCAAATTGTTTCCCTCTGACCTTACCCAAGGGGACATCCTGACCAATATAGTCTTCACTGACATGCAAGATGTCTATAAATTTGTTTTTAGCGGCATGGGTAAAACTAAGAAAGGCAGAATAAGCTTCTATTTATATCATATGTGTATGTATATTTATTTTTTAATTCATCTCCCTTATTTGCTTGGCATACAATTCAATTTAAATATATATTTTTACGCAGGGTAAGTTATCCAACAGACAAAATCTCAGTACCCTCCCCTGAGAATATGGCATAAACCCCACCACAGTATGTGGTGCATCTACTTTAAATACACTTAGATATCATTGCTATTAAATACTGAGGCAGATAGAGAAAAGTGAATGCAGTGTTTAGACCTGCTCTACTTGGTTTTGGAACTGCCTAAAACACACATTTATTTTTTAAATGCCCTTTAAGTTGAAAAGGAAAATTCTCTCCCCTGCTTGAGGATCAAGTTTTTCTCTGAAGTTTTGAAGGTGTCCTGTGTCCTTGTAGATGTGTGTGCCCTTATAGCTGCGTGTGCCCTTATATATGGCTGTTAAAAGTGGCCTGGTGAAAGCTCCCTGCTGCTCCTCTTCCCCCAGGAGGCTTGGGAGTGGTTGAGTCCCTTATTTCCTCCCCCAGGGACACTCCAGGGCCCGGCGTATGCCGGCGGCACATGCAGCACTCAGCGCTTCCCCCGCTCTCTTGCAGGCTGGCCAACAACGAGAAGCAAGGAGTGCGCTCGCACACGGTCTCCGTGTCAGGTAAGGAGCCCCATGGAGGAGGCAGAAAGAAACGGGATGCTTCTGGCCGCCCGCATCCACCGCGGAGCTGCCTCCTGGCTCCCTCGCCGGGGCTCTTCCCCAATCCCACCTCCGGAGCGGGATTGCTGGAAAAGGAGCTTTTTCCACTCCTCTGCTTGCGAGGACGGCCGTTGGTGTGCGGGACGGCAAGGGCAGCCTTCAGAAAGCAAACTTTGCAACAACCCACAGTGTTTTGCAGCACATTTGTATATATCTATATACCACCTATTGATATATATACTGTATCTTCAGTTGCTGTGTGGCAGGCTATAACATGGGTGCAAAGGAGCTGCTTAGAACGAGGGGAAAAAGGCAATTAAATATTAATGATCCTTTTTCTGAAAGAAAAAACTTAACAGCCCTTTCTGTGTCGTTGCTGTTGGGATCCAAGTCCTGTTGCGTTTTTGCCGTTGAAAGCCACTGCAGTTAATTGACAGCTGAGGATGTGAGGTAATAATACTGTTTTTTCTAGCCTCTAGATTCCAAGATTTCTGCTTGGAGTTACTGTATTAAGATTTTTTTATACTTCATGAAGAACATTTTTCTTTTCCAGAGTCTAAAAACCGAGTCCTTCTGAGGGACTCAGTGTCCTTCTCAACAGGAACTTATTTCAGACTCCTTTAACTAATGTTTACAAAGGCGAGTCTCAATGCACAAGTGTAGCACTATGATGACGTATCCCTATGGATATATGACATGCATAGATGAATTATATATCCCTATAGATGTATATCTATATGGTCTCAAGCTTCAAGAATCATTTTTGTGACCAAAATAAGAGCACCCACCCTTTGACTTGCAACCTCACCCCAACGTTTACATGACCATGTAGTTCCACATATTCCATGCAAGAAAGAGAGATGTATTGATGTTTATTTAATTCCTGACTCTATGTTGCTCTCCCTACCTGCATCCTTTTTTTAAAACACAGTTAAGGTTCTCCTCTTAGCATAACAAGAAGGTAATGGAAGGGATCTGTCATTGAGATGTCCATCAGGCTATAGGGGTGTAACAGAGCTTTGCAGCTACTGTTACCTCTTGGGGTCAAGTAGGTAACAGTACCTGTCACTGCGGGAGCCACCCAGCAAGCTTGGGGACAAAGGCAGATCCACATGGAAAGGAAGAGGTTTTACTGAAAGAGTTCTAGTAATAAACGATCCTTGATTTTATTGTGGTGCGTCCTGAAGCTCTCTTGCAATCTCTGTGCAAATTCAGTCACCCTTTCTCCTTGCCCTATAGGCTTCACCTGGAATTAGCAGTGTGGCCCAGAGCACACAGCTGCCTCTTTGCCACAGCAGCAGCAATTTGCTGTTAATGTAAGGAAATAAATTTCAATACCAGGTAACTGCATAGGTGAGGGTGTCACAGAAAGATTCATGATGAGCACAAGGGAACTTAGCTGGGGAACCAGCCTCCAAATACAGCATCCAGCGAGCCAGAAGAGAGACCAAACCAGTGCTGTGGATTCCCCAGCTGTCCCAAGCTGCCTCATGGGGTCATAGGCAGAACAGGCAGCAAATGCCCCTTCTTTCTTTCCGGGACCAGAATCAAAAACAGATCCTGGGTTTTCCTTGCCTTGTAGTGAGGTTCCACAGTGAAATGATTGGGCTCGGCGTGTGTTTTTTAAGCCACGTTACAAACCACTGGAAATGCTGACACAGGACTTGGAATGACTCGAGTCATTGCATCTATTATTCAGTCTAAGTTTGCCCTTCCTTTTGGTAAGGAAATGTGGAACAAGGGGAACATTTTCTTTTGTTCTACCCCAAATTTAAATGCCTTGCTTTTTGACGCAGATGCCAGTGCATTAAATTTCTAGCATTGACTTAAAGTCATTTGATAAACCCTGTCCAGGGAGGTGCTTTCCTTAAGAATTTGCGTCCCTAAAGGTAGGGACCTGTTTCAAACAAACTAATACTTTGTGTAGAAGCAAACAAGTGTTACTCCTGCTGACACCTGTAACAGATAGCCTGGTGTCAGATGATGGGGGTAACAGATGCACCCCAAGAGGGATAGAGCAGCAGAGCTGGACAGCTGACAGCCCCCAAGAAAAGCAGCAGCAGAAGAGCAATTGGACATATCTGTAGTTCTAATACCCTTAGTTGGAAAGGAAAGTTCTTCCCCCTGCTTGAGGGGCAGGTTTTTCTCTGAAGTTTTCAAGGTTTGCCTGTTGCTCTGCCTGTTAATGAAAGGTTTCTGGACTTCCTTTCTGAAATATTTATTAACTTGCCTTGTAGAATTTCTGATGAAATGAAACCTTGTTCTTTCCAAGTATTTTCGATATGCCAAAGCATACAAGAAAAAAATTTATTTGCTCTAGCCTTGAATAAAGATCTTTTCAAACTAGGGAAGGCTGAAGCAAATTCTGGCAATCCAAAGCATCAGATCACTGGACCCAGGAGCCAAGAAATATTCTCTTTATGTTTCACTGAACCTTGTTCGACCAGATACCTTGTTATTGCTGCCTCTTTTCCCATTTCTTCTTGCACAGTCTGACTACTCTATTGAAATCGTATGTTCCTTGCAAGAGGCACCGTTTTCATCAGGTGCTGATAAGAGGCCTACCAGTTTTCCCCAACTTTTTAAGCACAATAATATATTTATTCCTCAAAACTTATGTTTGTGTGTGTGTGCATTTATACAGCAGTATAAATAAAAAGCACAATGATACCTGATTTCAGATTTCTTTGGCTTAGATCTGATGTTTTGCATTAGGTTACTGTCATTCCCCAGAAGCCACTAGTGCTGTAATAGCAAGTTGCAGCTCTTATCCCATTCTCCCTCTACATCTATCTTTACATCAAAAATAATTCCTTGTACTTAGCAAGAGCATACATTTGGGCATCAGTAAGCCTCAATATTAGAAATCAAGATAAATACATCTAATTTGCAAGAGGTCACATAGCAGTTTCCTGTAGTTTTACTGACTGGATTTCACACTGTTTTGCTTGGAGCCTTCACTAAAGGGCTCTACTGCAGTCTGCAGGAACGTGCTCTGGCCAGCAGTGTGTTTTGCAGCAGCAAACACTGGCCTTAGTGAGGTGATGCACATATTTCCCAATGCACTCATTTCCAAAAATAATAGTCTACCCAGTCAATTACTTATTATAATAAGTTCTTCATAAGACAAAATCAATAAAGCCATAGTTTGCTGCTCCCTTAGCACATAAACTCCTCCTTATGTAGAGTTTCTTGATTTCTCCTCCCCATCACCCTCCCTTCTGTAAATACAACTAGGAAGGATAAATATTGTTGCTTGGCATCCTTTGACTAGCCCTGCAGGACCCTGAGGTTGTAGCTGCTTTTAATCCTGTCTCTACCAAAATCTGTGTTGCACAAAGAGGTGCAGAAAACAACATTTCAGAAATGGGTTGAACAGGCAATCCCAGTTGTCACTGGGATATTCTAGTCCTGATGGATATAATAGTGCCTCTCTAGGGAAGAACCTATAACTAGGAAGAGATGAGTATGGAAAAAGATGGACCTTTCTGCAGGCACTAGCTCCAGGCATGTCCTTGAGGTGAGTTTTTGAGGCCTGGTAAAGGAGCTGGGACTTGACTCATAATGGTTGTTGGATTTGGAGCTTTAACATTTGCATATTTGGTGATGGAAATTGGAGGTTTCATCAGGTGTTACCTCAAACTCCTCACCCCATCTCCACAACAGATCACGGGCCACCCTCTTCAACAGGAAAATGGGCAACTTAGAGGGAAGCTCCTTGTCCTTGTGTTTCCTGTTTACTGTGGCTGTTGGTGGTTGCACAAATGGCATTTTTGAATTAAAGGCAATAAGTTCATAGTTAATGTTAAGGCCTGAGTTGGGCAAGGGTGGAAGGATGAAAATGAGTTTATTGAATTATTTCTCCTGGCAGAGTGCAGTGTGTGATCTTGTCTGCTGAAAAGTGCAAGAGAACACTTCTTAAGATGAGAAATGTGTCCTGAGTGTGTGTCTGTTAGATCGGTTTGTGTTTGAGAGGACCACACTGGACAACATGCTGCTTCTGAGAGGAAGAAGAGCCCCAAACTCCTAGCATAAATGATGCACTTAAGAAATTCACTAATTAGGGGAATGTAAAGGCCATGCCCAGCTGTAGATCCACTTTATGATGATAGGACAAGGAGATGCTCAAGGCAAAGTCTTTCACAGATGGCTTCTATAACCTTGGGCAAGTCATTAGCCTCCAAGTTCATGAAGATTACCTTTTTGTTAATTAACCCAGCTGCCCTGATTAAGAGGCTAATCTACCGAAAAAAACCCTGCCAAATGGCAGTGTGTAGGATTCCCAGCACTGTTGCACAGACTGGTGTGTTACTTTCTTGTATTTCAGCCTTGCTAACCTACCGTTGCTTCTGTTCTTGGACGCTAAGGGCAGAGGAGACTGTGATTTCTTGTATCTAACCTGATTTCCAAGGCCTGGGAAGTTCTCCCTGATTTCATGGACCCAGATCACAGCTTGAGGAGAGCTCTCCCACCCACGTTTCTCCCTTAGGATCCAATCTTTTGACTTGAGCTTTTGCACTGCTAGTGATGACCATGTAGTAACACTACAGAAATGTCCCCTGCGTTACTAGTCCTGCTTCTTGTTTGCACATTGGCTTTGACAGCTGCATTTGGTAAATATTCTAACTGCATACCACTCATTTCAAAAGCTTGCAAACAAATGGATTTATTCCTTTTACAAAATTTTTGAAGGCTTTTCTCAGGTATAGGACCTAGGGGAGTAGGTTTTTAACATTGTTTTGTAGCTAGACTTGCGCATCAAGAGTAGCAGCATCTCTTCCCTTTCTGGGACATCTTGCACTGCTACCAGTGGCTCTGTGACCCCTTCTGCCATTTCACTACAGGGTTTGGCATTCCTGAAATCCCTTATAATAACAGCAGTATTTCTTTATATTTCACAGAATCACAGAATCACACAATGTTCAAGGTTGGAAGGGACCTCTGGAGATCATCTAGTCCAACCTTCCTGCTCAAGCAGGGACACCTACAGCATGTGGCACAGGGTGGCATCCAGGCAGGTTTTGAAGACCTCCAGAGATGGAGATCTTCAAAAATCTCTTTATATAGAGAGATTTCTATATAAAATATTCTATATTTCTTTATATTTCTATATGTTTACTGTCTCCAAAGCTTTTTTAAGAAGCTTGGGCTCGCCTTAGAAAGATAATACTGCAATTTGTGCACTGCAAAGACACGTCCCAGTTGTCTCAGTAATGTCAACATGCAACATAAATATGAGTATTATACTAACATACTGAATAATAGTTTTCCCGCTCCTAACATACAATCTCATTAATGATCTGTCCTCGTGGATGAGATGTCACTTTTTGCAGCTGCCAAACGAGTTCGTTTGCAGGCTTTGCAGGGGCGCTTTGCTGCTTGGATGAGAGCTGCACCCTGTAGCACATTGCCCTGCGATGTGCACGTGGCAGACTCAGCCTGCAGGCTGGTCAGTCCTGGAGCGTGTTCGGTACCATTCCCCCCAAAATCTGCACCTCAAAATTCGGCACCTGAAACATTGCCTGGCTGTTTATACAATGATGCTCTTGCATAAACATATCTGCTGTGGTAGTGCTTCAGTTTCCGGAGTCCACAAAAATTATCAAAGTTCAGTTTTTCTTTTCATTTTTAAGAAGATACTATGATTTTTTCTGCATCTGACTTTGAGAGAGTGCCAGGAAAAGGGTCTTTTTGTTACTTCTTTGGCTTTGGGACCCACATCTTACATTTTCTGAGAGAGGAAAAAGAAGGAAGGAGAAAAGCAGAGAGGACCAACCAGATTAACAAGAGAAAGAATGGAAGGAGCAAAGATGTCCACTGGCTTGTGGCATCTTCTTTCTTTCTCTCTCACCTTGTGAACTTGGTTGTGGTTGCTTTGCATTCTCTCCTTCCCTAAATCTCTCTCCTTGCGACAAGAACTAATCTCATGCTGGAGGGTGACCAGGCCTGCAAGGATTTGGAGCAAATTTCTCCAGGATGTTTTTGGAAAGTTGGGAGTCTCAGCTCCAAGGCAGGTCCACGCTGGGCATAAAACTCCAGGCAGTTGCTTTGTTTCGTAAGGTGCATCCGTGCTGGTTTTTGGTGGGATGGAGAAAGTGAGTGCGTTGCCTTGTTCTGTTCAAGGGGACTATGTGAAATGCTGCTTTTGTGCCAAGCTTTTTCTGTGCGTGTCCAGCAAGTCAACACGTCTGTGTGTAACTCTGGTGAGTGCCACTTAGGTCAGAATTTGCCCGCTTGGTATTTCAGGAGGGGAGCTCCCAGAAGCACCTTTGCATTAGGAATGGCAGATAAATCCGGAGAGAGGGTTGCCAAAAGTTGACTTTTTAACCAATTGCGTTCTCGTTTTGAAAAAGCACAATAAGAATAATTTATTTCCGGGGAAAGGAATTCTCAGGAAAATACCTCATGAGCTGGAGATGTTCACAGCCTTCCATGTTCTTGGCGCGCGCGGAGTCGTAATGTAACCCTTTACTTTTTGCCTTCATTTGCTGTAGATGTTCTCTCTGGTTTCTTTTGCTTTCATTTCCAAATAATTTGATTATTTTTCTTTGTTTCTTTCCTTCTCTCCCTTTCCTTTTCTTGCCTCTGTAAAGGAGTTGATCAATGTCAGCATAAAGTAAAGAAAGTTAGACGCTTTCTGCCTTTCGTCTTCTGTTCCCATGAGCCGCCAGCTACGGGTACTGCACCGCTCTTTGCCTAGGCTGCCTTGTTAAACCCCGCTCAATATTACGCTAATTCCGTGGCTGTTTGTTCCCCACTTTAGACGTAGGTAAAAGCAGAGTTCCAAGAATACCTACCATTAAATTTCGCCTGCCCTTCCCTGCCTCCTCAATTGGATTTTCCTGCCTTGAATTTTCATGCAATGGCACAAAGTCACGGACTGCCGTCTCTATTGGGAACTGCCTGTTGTATCCTAGAGTGGAAAACACATTGATGATTCCATTGGCACGACTCTACAGCCCCCATACACCCTTGTTTTATTGCATTTTTTTTCTTTTTTTTTTTTTCTTTTTTTTTGGTCAATATATCAGAACCTCATTCTTGGACCCCTGATACAGCATGCTCATGTCTGAAGTAGAGTAGCATCAAGAAGCATCAATTAAGAGCACTTGAAATGAAATATTTACTACAGCGATGCTTGTGGCTGCTTACTGGTTCAGCACTTGGAGAGGACCAGTTTGGCTGTGGTTGGGGTAAAAGGAATCAGAGGAAGAGGTGCACTATTTCTACAATATTAACGTGCATTTCTTTTTCATCCGTAAATAACATGTGAAGTGCATCAGCTTGTGTCATGGATATTGGTGCAGTTTACGCCCCCCGCGGTGAATGCAGAACACGACTTCATTTGAGCAGACTCCCTGCAGAGTCGCTCCGTTTACCCGTCAACTCAACCTTCAAGCTTGTATAACTATAAATATTCTGTAAAATGAATCCTTACATACCCTGTTTCTTCTTCTGGTCTCGGCGGTGGCTTTGGGAGCTCAGGTCCTTCCAGAGTCAACCGCAACTTGGGTTTTCCCAAGTCAACAAGTGTCAATGGAAGCTCTACTGGCCAAACGGAGCAGACTCCTCTGGCAGGAGGAGATCTGTCCTCTAGTGGAAGCTCCCAATTAAAGCACAAATTAACATTGCTTAACAATGCATTGGGGATAACCAGTTCCGCTCCCAAATTTCATTTTTGTGTAACTCTGTGTTTGCAAGTTATTAAAGTTTCCTCCTATAAGCTACTCAGAAAATATCTCTATCCCTTGGGTTTTAGGTGAGAAGTCTTAAATTCCACTACTTTTCTGGTTTCTCTTGAGTCAGGTATATAAGATAACTGCAGTCTGAATACTTTTGGATTACTCATGAATTTAATAGTATATTTTCCCCTCCCCCTTCTCTGTCCCTTCTCTCTCCCCCTCTGTTTTTCTCTCTCCTTGCATGCCACCTGGATCTGCAGATGAAATTAGTGGGGACGGTAATATGTTTTCTAGTCTGTGTGTTACTAACATGCAATATGCAGCTCTTGAATATATACACCACTTAAATGCACATTTCCCTTATCAGATTGATGCAAATTTTAGTGTTAAAAGGCAATGCTGCCAGCCAAGAACTCCTGTGCTTTGCAGGTGATGCAACTAACACTTTCTGCTCAACGAATAGGCCAAATTGGCCGGGGGGGGGAAATGTTTCCAACACCGTGGGAATTGGGATTGCATGTGTTTGCAGTGCGAGGGCTGGCATGGCGCAAAGAGGCTTTGTGGGGTGCCAAGAGTGGCCATTCATTTTGATTCACAGAGGGGAAGCACAGATCTCCCTTGGCCAGTGAGCCCGATCCTGGGGCTAATAAATGAATCCGCTAAGGGATGCTTGACTTTAAAGGCATGGTGGCATCAAAGTGCTCTGTTATCCACTAGTGTTTCTTGCATAAAAAGAAGCTATGCACAACTCTGATTCCATGCATGAAATACTAGTCACATTTCAACTGTTCCAAGGCCCAAGTCTAATGGAAGAGAAGGGGAAGATATATTGATTTGTGGCTTTCCTCTTAGGAAAATATAAAAGGGATATTCTTTCCTTCAGATATGAATCGTATGAAGATAATGCTGCCACAATTTTCTTTTCTAAAAAATTAACCTCCCCCTTTTATCCTGTCTTAAATTCAGAAATTTTTGGTGCTTAAGTCCTTTTATAAACTTACGGGATCTGAGAGACACTGGGAAAAGAAAACATAAAAAGGGAAATGTCACAGGGATAAAATCCATGAATCAGCTGTCACAGATGTCCTCTAGTGGGACTCATTTTTCTTATGCGCTAATAAATATATTCTCATAATGCACCAAATGGCCAACTCCCTTATATATTACCCTGTTCATAAAGCAGCCCAGAGAGCCTTGCTCAGGTGAGTTTTGCTTTTCACACTCTTTTTGTGTGGATCCAGCAAAAGCCCTGGTGGAAACTCATCTTACATGACTCTAGTCCTGGTGTAAAGTCTGCAAGCAATGGAGGTCACTGATGCCTTCGGTGCAGAGCACTTGAAGCCCTTGTCACCCTTAATGCCTTGATTAAGTTTCCTCCTCTTCCCAGAAAGAATGATGATATATGGGAACTGTTTCTTGTCGTATGAGCTATATATCCCCAAAGTATTAAACATGTACCAAGGAGTATTTATTAACTACCTTTAATTCGTCTGGTTTGGCCAGTTGAAGATCCCTCCAGCTTCAGTTGAGTTTTGGGCAATGTATCAAAGCCTATAAGGTGGCCTGCAGTGATCTGATAATGCTTTTAATATGAAGGAACATCATTAATTAAAACGGAGAGATGAACAAGCCAAGCCATTTGTCACATTTTATAAGCCCTGTTCCATAATCCAGTGTGACCACATGTTTTGATTTTCTTATTTAATGACCAACTCTAGAGCCCAGAATCCTTTAATTCTTGAAGCTGCTTATAATCTTACTCATTCATTGTATGCCTATAAAAAGTACTGTCTGGCATCTGCCTCAATAGCTTATAAAGGTAGTTGAGATATATATATATATAAATGCTTGACCTAGCAATTTAAAAGTATCCCATGGCTTTCTTTAGTTATCTGTTTTCTGATAGTGGCAAGTTAGGGTCATAAATCTACATTTAATCCCTAAAGTGTGTTGAGCTTTACAGGCAACCTGTAATTTCCTAGTTGTCAAAAATTCGTGGTGTTTGATAAAGAAGCCTCTTTTTTATGTGCCTCTCTAATAACTAGGAGCCTTGGGGGTGTTTCAGGCTTGGTTTAAGTTGATTGCACTGAAGGCTGCATTTGAAAAGGATCCTCCACTCCTTTTTTTCCACTCTCTGGCTTTATCCCACTCACTGTTTGGACACCCAAGCTCAAGAAGTGGTATCACGTTGGAGGAGGAGTAGAGAGATGGGCAAAAGTGGGAGGAAATCCGGCCTTTCAGAAGCAGCCCCGGATTTGATCAGCTGAAACCAACCCTGGAAACCTTGAAGCAAAAGTTTCAAGCAAACTTGAAGTTTGAGTTTTGAGAACCTTTTTATGTATTTAAAAAAAGTCGCTGAAGAGAGTTTAATGGCCTTGCAGTGGAAAATCCTCTTGCTGTTGTGCATTGGGTTTGTCAACCCAAATGAGAATTTTTCTGATGGCGAGGACGTGATCTTCTCATGCTGGAGACTCTTTAGAGCAAGAGGAGTGTCTTTGGTAGGACTTGACACTATTTAGACCATTTTAAAAACTGTTGATGTGAAAATATAGAGTCTTAAGAGGAGGAGTCATTCTTCTTAAAAGTTTGAAAACACATGCTTTCACTAACTGGGAGGTGCTGATCCTTGATATCAAAACTGGCTAGTTATTGGAGTGAATTACCATTAAAAAAGGAAAACTAATGTTAATAGCAGCAGAAAGGATGAAAGGCAAGAGTTTGACTTTGAAGGATCTTCATGCTCTTAGGAGAACCTATGGAAAATTATTCACCTTGCCACACTGGCCGGAGGTAGATGCTGCCCTGGAACATCTTTGCTATATGCTCTGCTTCTAAGACAGAGCAAAACTAGCACACCTTTATTCATACTTCTTTGAGAATAAAGGCATTTAATCTGTTGATGTTCGCTGGTTTTATCCATTAACAATGACATTTTCTCTTTTTGTGGCAATTTGCTGTTAAATAGGTTTTCTCTTTTAAGCCATCACTTGGGATGGATGGGGCTTCAGTGACAGAGCTTACAGTTTCTTGGCGTACAAGTGAATTCTCCTTCTATTCCTGCTCAATGTCCCTACGTGACGCAGTGGAACAGGCACTGAAGTCATCATCACTTCCATAAGCAACTCATGCATGAGCAAGTTGAAGTCATGCTGTTGTAAATGGCTCCCAGCAGCGGGGAAGTTGGGGTTGTGCTTTATCAGCATTCATTAATTGGAGACGGTGGTAGAAAGACGGAATTTGTTGTCACTTGCTTTTCCCGAAACTCTTTAATTCCTCCCTTACAGAAACAGATGACTACGCAGAGATTATAGATGAAGAAGATACCTACACGATGCCGTCAAGTAAGTACACCCGCTAACCTGGGAGCTTTTGCCTCACAATTTCTGGGCTTAGTGGGGACTGAGTCTTTTATTTCAACTTTAAATAATACATGTGCAATGAGAATATTCGTGGTGGAAGATGTTCTGAAAACCCATGCATTCCATGTCTTTCAAATTCAGCTTTTAAAGAGAAGACAGTCACATTTTGCTACAAATTTTGCTGTTGTGAAAGACTGCACAGTGAAATCCGTTTATTTAATCTCAAAATCCAGGATTTTTAGTTGGGGTGATAAATGCATGCTTAGAGAAAAGAGTGGATGTAGTTTCTTTGCTAAGAGCAAACAGCGGGGGAAGTCTTTGGCTTTTGCATGTTGCTCTGTAGCTTTATGTCAGCCCTGCTTTATGGCAGACTTGCTGCTCTAATTCCTTGATGCTTAGGAGCCTAAAAATGCCAAGTTTTTTCTGAATCTTCATCTTTGAAGTCAGAAAAAAAATTAATGCAGTAGCCTATCCAGGGATTTTGTCTTCTGGCATGTCTGAATTAGAGCATAATCATGCTCTAGGAAGTTTAGTATTGTGATGGTAGAAATTACGTCTGCAAATTCAGGTTGCATTATGGCAGTCTAGGACTTAAGAGAGCAGTAGAAGATCAGGGCACCTACCTACAGAAATGTCAGCTTTGGCTGTGACAAAAGGGGAAGATTCTGCCACGTGGTACAATGATCAGCTGGGGAACTATGAATGTTTTTAAGGATTTTGAGAGACTCCCTTACAAGGGAGGAATCTTCCATAGTCATTTCAGCATTTACAGTGCAGTGTGCTCTCGTGACAAAGACTTGAAAAGCAAAAATATATATGTTTCCCCAAAAGAGACATGTTTTGAATGTTCTGCAGTAAGCCAGTACAGGGCTCTACAATGTAACTGCAGAATCAAAGGATACTGTGGCAGATGAAATACCTTATTACGTGTTAGTATATTAACTCTATGTATTTTTTTGCCATCTTTTCACTTAAGTTCTCATGTTACTTGTGAGCTCAGCCCTGGACGATACTGAACACTTAAGTAGACCTTCAACTGAATGCCCACGAGCTGCACCCTTGCAGTGGTGCTCACTAAGTGCTTTGCTGCACTGAAGGGGACTCAGGTGTTCAGCTCTCAAAGGACTGACCCAGGAAAGATAACAAGAGCAGACCCATGACCTCTCTTAATGTAAACTTGAAATTGCCTCATGTATTATTTCTGCTTTTTTTTTTATGTTCAAATATACTTGTCCTTGTCTTGTTAATTTTAAGAAGCTCTCTCTAAGTAAGCATTTGATTTTTCTCTTAATTGCACTGCAGAAAGCTATGGAATAGATGAAGGTAACAGGAGACCCTTCACCCATCTCTGTGTGCTTGCAGTTTGGAATGATGTGGGATTTTTCAGTTTACTATCACTTTCATTTAATAAGCATTATTTACTTATCCTTGAACCGTCCAGCTTGGGGATTTTAAAGAGGAAAATGCAGTATCTAAAACAAGAGATGAAAAAAAAAGACATTTATCACTTTGTTATCCGGCTAGAAGACATTAATTTTGTAGTGTTAATGAAGCCATAAAATAATTGGGCGTGAAGTCTAAGATGCTTGATTATAATTTTTTCTCTGAGTAATGGAAAAAGAGGTGAAAACATAATGTAAATATCATTTTGCTACTCCTGAAATATTTTTTTCCATGTCTGCTAGAAATTAAATTGCAAAGTAATTCAATTGCAACTGATTGAATGTTTTTCTGAAGTGGTGAGCTGTTTTTATCAGGAATATCTCCACTCTATTAAACCACAAAGCGAACAAAATTGCTTAAGTCACAGAACATCTTATCAGCTTCATTTCAATTATACCGAAAGAAGTGTAGGAGGGCACTCAAAATTTTTCATTTGATCTTTATTTTGCTGTGATGTTGTTGCCATTCTTTTTTCTTGCAGTTGCCTCTTTAAAAATTCTCCTGGCTCATTTGATGGTTCAAAGATCTAAAATACCCCAGAATGGAGTTCTCTTAAACGTATAAAAGCATGTGTGTGTGCGGGCTGTGTTTAATCCATTCCATATTGCCAGAGACCATTTGCATTCTTTGTCTTGTATTAGCTGTAATTAAGAAGGATTTAATTGTATCTATTGCACTGAAATAAATATTTCAATCAATTTAGCAAATTACATTTCAATATCCCTTTTTCATTGCGTTAATTGCAACATTTGTTTAAGAGGATTCCACTGTGAGTTCGCAGTGTTTGTATAGGTCGGTGTGCAGCAGATGTTAATCTTAGTTGTTCGTATGTGAGACATTTGAGTGACTGACTTTGAGTTTGGTATCTTGTGGATTATTTCTTTGCCAGAAACTGGGGATTTTAAGTGCATTCTGTTCTTGCAGCCAGGGATTACGAAATTCAAAGGGAACGAATTGAGCTGGGGCGCTGCATCGGTGAAGGTCAGTTTGGAGACGTGCACCAAGGAGTTTACATGAGTCCAGTAAGTGTCCCTTCTGAGATAATAAAGCTAATGGCTCCTTATAAAAATATTATATGCCTCTTAAATGCCTTGGATTGAGTCCACTCAACTGTTTGTGTACATTCAGCATGTACAGCACATTCTGCGTGTTGGAGTTGATGTAGAAGACCTCTTCCTTCTAGTGTAGTCACTTTGTTCCAAATTCCCATCAGGAAATAAATGGAAATGGCCAAGTGAACTGTTCAGCCCCTACCAAACCCACTGGGCTGGATCAGGATGGGAAGTCACTGCTTTCAACCCCAAATACAGGCTCGCTGCTCATGCTCAGATTGAGTGTATCCAAGCATGGTAAGCACAGGCACGTGGCCTCCTTTCAATTATTTCTCATTTTTTGTCTTTCAGGAAAATCCAGCTATGGCTGTTGCAATCAAAACCTGTAAAAACTGCACCTCAGACAGCGTTAGAGAAAAGTTCTTACAAGAAGCCTGTGAGTATTTAAATATTTCTGCGGGCCTTGCTTCTGAAAGTGGTTCTTGCAAAGACTGTGCAGCCATCTGTGCCTCAAGCTACGGATACCAATTTAAATGCTTGATATTTTAAACCAAGAAGATATAAAAATATGTAAATGTTAGTATATTTATATAAAATGTATATAAATAAATTTTATATATATATATATGTAGCTTGCACTTTTATTCTCACTTGCATAACATGAGCTTTATCTTCTCCTGCAGTATGAGCCAAGCAGACTGCATTATACCCTCCACTGCCCATGTATAGAACTGTGCATGGAAAATTTGATTTTTTTCAACATTAAGCAGTGATGTCCAGCTCTTTAAGACTTGATAAGCAGTTTTGGCATGTTAGAGATCTGATCCTCTGTTTCTTTTTTTTTCTCTATTGAATCAAAAAGAAATAAAGCACTTGGTGTGTATTGCACCACTTTTGGAGAGTCAGGTTGTTGTCCTGGCTAGCAAAGTTTACTAAAATATTATGTCTAAAAGAAATCTATTCAGAAGATGTGGATTTTAAAATTTTAATGGTATGCATCCAAATTTTGAAATAATTGCTGACAAATCCACAAATCCTGCAGTTCCCTGAGTGGTGCCTTTTCATACACAGGGAAAAGGCTTTCTGAATTTCTAAGAATGTCATAAACTTTGCGAGTGCTCATAAATCTCATTGATACCAGTGCAGAACCTCTGGAAGAACATTATAGTTAGTGATTTCAGTGGCTTTTGTGAGCAAAATCGTATATGCGACACACACCTTAATTCTGACCTGTTTTCCTCTGCTGCTGTGTGGTTGAGGAGCTTGTAGGGCTGCTGTGTCCTTGGTTAAGGATACTTAGTGCTCCTGTGTTCAAGGATATTTTCTAATTATGTATCAAAATCTGTGTTTATAGCTAAGAGCTTTTCATTTATAAGTTCAGGGTTTTTTTAATTTATTAGCACTTTTTTCAGTTATATTCGTAGTTGTTGGAAAAGTAAATACCACTGCTCATGGAAATATTTTAGCAGTCAAGGGTGTGCTGCTAATTCCTAATCCATTAAGATTAGGGATTGTAATTAATTAAAAGTAATTGCTCGTATGCGGGGGGGTGCTTACTGTACTTTGAACTTGGCCAATCAGAAATGCTAGTGTAGCAGAGAGGAAGCGAGAGCTTTCTAATTTTGAAATTTCTGGTCAAGATGTATTCCTGCTTCACTTTTACATGAATGAAGCAACATTTTCATCTTATAAATCATATTTGGAATTGCTTCTGAACTTGATTAGCCATAAGAGAGCCCTAAAACTGAAAGATGTGAGTTTCTCTTGGGGTAGATAATTTATTTACAAAGATTTAAATAACGAAGTTGGGTTCAGAGATTCTAGTTTCATTTATCCTTTTTATCAGGATGCCAGAAATAGCTTATTTTCTCCTCTGTAAACTCATTTTTAATTCAAAAAGGAGAGAATTGGGGTAAATTTGAATGATTTAGAGTTCCAGTTTCAGTTCTGTATGATATTTTACTGTTTGTTATTGCCCAGTTGATACTTTCCCATGCCCTTATTTCTCTCTTTCCTTTCTAATAATGTGTTAAACTGTTTCATTAACTGAAAAACAAAATACGAGAGTGTCCTTGCTCATTTTTTTGAACTGAAGCTGACTTTTCAGTTATGTAAACACCATGTATTTCTGTTGACACTGTAAACTGTAAATGTAAAAGAGATGCTACCTTATGATTAAATTAGGAATATTGGACATGTGTATGTCAGAAAATGAATACTTAATCAGGAGACTGATGTTTTACTTAACCTACCAGATACACTGATACTACCACTGATACTACCACTGATACTACTGATACAGATACTACCAGATACACTTAACCTACCAGATACAGCATTAATAAACTCTTGTCCATCTTGCTGCATCAAATACGTTGTGACTGCCCTGCTGAGCCTGAAATGTTAATTAAACCCGTAGAAAATGAAATTGGTTGGAAATATAATCATTAAAGGAAATGTTGTTTCAATGCCATGAATGACAAGCAGGATCTCGGGCTGCTTGCAGCCACGATGCAGAATCTCAAGCAGACATTAAGACTTGCCAGCGTATGTGGAAAACCCCACAGAACTGTTATTGGACCTCCTGGCTTTTGGTGGCTCAATTACAGACTAAAAGCTTCTCAGCTGTGTTCATTGCCAAAAAAAAAAAAAAAACCAAACCAAAGCAGATAGGTATTGCACTACCTGTTAGGCTTTATGCACTAACTTGATTTATTGTTTCCTGTTAGTAACAATGCGTCAGTTTGATCATCCTCACATTGTGAAGCTCATTGGAGTTATTACAGAAAATCCAGTTTGGATCATCATGGAGCTCTGTACGCTTGGTGAGGTAGGGAAAAATCTCATCCCTCTTTGGCCTTCACCGTTTTAGTTCATACTTTGGTAAGAGACTGAAAAATCAGCTGTTTCTGTGCCAATGCAAAGTGGTCTGAATATTTATGTGGAGGAAACTCCCCAAATGTACTCCCATGCCTGTATGCAGAACTATGGATTCAGAAGCCACAGAATTTGGCCTAACCCCTCCGCTAAGGGAACAGCAGCAGCTCAGACCACAGGGATTTTGCTGTGATTTTCAGACACTCTCAGTTGCTCTTCCAAAGTGAGAATGAGAGCTGTAGCAATGAGAGGACAATTACAAGACAGCATTTGCAAACATACCTTCTTTGGGCAAAAAATATATAGTATAACTTTTATTCCCAAAAAATGTGTGTGTAGCCATTAGAGAAAACCGTGAGCTCATTTGCTCTTCTTGGGCAAACAGAGCTTATAAAGTTTTGCTGACAGTAGTTAAAACTACAGATTTTTCACCTTTTAGAAAGTAAATTCCTGAGCGATTCTTCTTTTTCTCTATAAACACCGCCTTCATTCTGTTTATTTTCTGGCTGGTGTCTGTAGCAGGGACTCTAGAAAAAAAAAATAAGGTGATTTGAATGAATGGTTTAAACAGACCTGGATCTCAAATTTTATAACTGACTATTTTTCTTTGAGCCACATGCTTCTGAATGTTTGAGATGAAGTATTTTTTCATATTGTATTTTTGAGCTGCAATACAGTTATCCAAGTTGAAACAAAGGAAAGGAAGAAAATGGCAGAAAAGCTTTATTGCACAGGTTATCTCCTCTCAGCAGTTTACAGTTATTCTCTCTAGCACACAATTTTTTTTTCAAAACCTTATGTTAATTTTAAAAGGAGAATCTGTTAGATCTTGCTTGCTTTATGCCAGAAATACAGTTTATAAAATGTCTTCATTGCTATTAGTTACTCCGAGATGAAGGTTGGGTATTTCAGCAAATGTAAACATAGATGTAAAACAGGGCTGCCCAAACAATACTCATCTCACTGGTATTCACATTGGCCATGTACTGCTGCCTCCTGAAATTATCTAGGCCAAAAATGAGCAGTTTTCAAGGAAAGAATTCAGGAAAAGATGAGTGCTGGAGTCTGGACAAGCAGCAGCATATGTATTCTGTCTTCAAGAAGACCCTGAATGCAATGCAAAAATTTAGTCGTGGTTTGGCTAACAGATTCACACACAAAAACCTATCAAGTTTTCACCCACTGTTGTTTCATAAGCATTGATTTTGTTTTCTCCTCCGGTCTAAAGGGCAGCCATGTCAATTGGTATTTGGGTAAACTTCACACTTGAAGGTCTATTTGGTCAAATAATTTGTCTCCTTTTCTTTTTACTCCCTCTTTTTGATCTTCTTTGTGCAAAAAAGTTGAGATCGTTTTTGCAAGTAAGAAAATACAGCTTGGATCTGGCCTCTTTGATACTCTACGCGTACCAGCTTAGCACAGCACTTGCCTACTTAGAGAGCAAGAGATTTGTACATAGGTAAGATCTTATGGTATACATACCTGTGTGTGTGTGAATATGTATTTTTTATATGTAACTGCTTAAAATTCTAGTATGTAAGAAGTGTCCTAGATGGATGGCAAACTTGCTATATGAAGCCAAATATTTACAACACGATTGCACGCTTGGAAGCTTCCTTGCTATTTTCTTTGCCTTGACTTCTCTTGGTGGAGGTATAGCAGCAATGCTTAAACAGTTCTTAAATTCCCTCACCTGTTCTATATCGGGCTCCATGTTAGACTTTTTTAGGCTATTTTTTGAGGCTCTGCAACCAAAATTCACGCTTTTCAAGAGTGACACCTGCTGGCCCACTGCTAGATTGAACCAGAGATGTTTCTGTCTTTAATCAGAACGGTGGACATCTCAGCTAGGTTGTTGCTTTACTAAATTGGTTAGCCTGTGAGCTTTAAATAAACTGTTTTTCTCTAATATTGTATTACTAGTTATATTTTTATATGATAGTTATTACTTATAAAGATGATATCACTACAGTATTTCTGCAAGTTTTTCATTAGCAATAAAAATGTCATGTAGTCTTATTCTCTACATGGGCAGCTAAACCATGCTTAGGAAAATAATTTGACCCTCTCCAAGGAGCTTGATATTTCCGGGATGTAAGAGATATTCTTTTTTTGCTGATGATGTTTTGCCACTTTACCTTTTTTTAAATGACTGGAAATAGTGTCTCCTCTATTTGGCAGGGATATTGCTGCTAGAAATGTGCTGGTGTCTGCCACTGACTGTGTGAAATTGGGAGATTTTGGGTTATCCCGATATATGGAAGACAGTACTTACTATAAAGGTAAGTGACCATTTTGGATTTGCAGGTAAAATTGTGGTTTTTAGGCCAAGCTTATAGTGCTTGCTTTGCATTTTTAGATTATCCTCATGTGAAGCTTAAGATAATATGCCTGTTCATGGCATAGTCTGAGTTTAAGGTTACCTACAGGTGCTGATCGGGAGTTTGTCTTGGTGTTATGTGCTGTAAAGCAGCAAATAGCAGTAGAGACTAGAGGGATTTATTAGAAAAAAAAATTGAAACCCGCTCTTTTCCCATTTTATGTGGAAAACTGATGTTAACTCTAGTATCTGTGAGATGTCCTGCAGTGCCTGATCAATGGGAAACAGAGCAGAATAGAACTGGCATTATAGGGAGCCAAACGATGGCATTTAAAATCCAGTGCCTGTTATGAAAACATGGTTTTGTATATTTAATCTTGACTATATTTCTAAGTTTGCTTCACAAATGCAAACATATCCTGTATGTGAATCCCTGCTCCCCAGAATGTTTCCTTATCCTTGTGTCTCATAATAACACTGCTAGGTTTTGTATGAGCGGGATTTGATATCAGGATGTTCAAGCGCAATCGTTGTAGCTTGAAATCAAAAGAAATCACTGGATATCAAAAGAAATCACTGGATATCAAAAGAAATCACTTGAAATGAGGATGAGCCTCTGCTCAATCTGTCTGTGTGTTTAAGCAACGTGGAGCTGCTGCCTCCAGAAATCTCTTGGGTGAAACAAGAGGGTTGAAGAGCTTCTCTGGAGAAACATTTTGCCCTCTTGCTTGAGTCTCGCAGCAGAAATCACATCCTCCCTGCTCTTCCCTCCCCTGCAGCTTCCAAGGGCAAGTTGCCCATCAAATGGATGGCTCCAGAGTCAATCAACTTCCGACGGTTTACCTCAGCTAGCGATGTGTGGATGTTTGGTAAGCAGCTAGCAGTCGTTTGGGCTTCTTAATGTCTTCTAAGCTTGATTCTTTCAAAATGTGTAAGTTTGGATGAGTCTGGCGTCTCATGTTCAGACTAGAGCTTTGTAGTCTGTTGGATGGGATGGACAATGCAAAGACAAGGAAGGTGATGGGGCCCCAAGGAGGAGTGAGACTAACAAATAAGAATTCAAAAGGTTTAAAAAATAAAATTTGAATGTTTTTAAGTATCCATGATTTTAAACATATGTAATTTTTACTGAGTGTGAAGATCACATGAGTGCAGTTAGAGTTTGAAAAGTAAGTGGGTGGATTGCTGTGGCTGATCTGAATCGGGCACACTGTTTTTCCCCTACGTACTTTTAAAACAGTTTCAGCAGAAACTGTTTTACCACACAGTTTCTGCACTAGAAATTTGGCTCGATGCCAGTGTTAACTCCCTCGAAGCCCAGTCACCCTCTGCAAGTTGAAACGAGGCAGCTGGAACGAGTCAGAGAGCAAACACAACCCATGCCATTTCCCGTCTCGAGCAGCCGGTCGGGTTCGCGACGGGCCAAATGTGGCCGTGCATGTGGCGAGTTCCTGCCATCAGCTCAGACAGAATTGCAGAAGGGCCAAGGTTGGAAGGGACCTTTAGAGATCATCTAGTCCAACCCACCCTGCTCCCGCAGGGACACCCAGAGCACATGGCACAGGGTGGCATCCAGGCGGGTTTGGAAGATCTCCAGAGAAGGAGGCTCCACAACCTCCTTGGACAGCCTGTTCCAGGGCTCTGGCACTCTCACAGTGAAGAAGTTCTTTCTCACATGGAGATGGAACTGCCTGTGTTTCAACTTATTCCCTTTGCCCCTCGTCCTGTCACTGGCCACCACTGAGAAGTGTTTGGTCCCCTCCTCCCTACATTCTCCCTTCAGGTATTTGTACATGTTGATCAGATCTCCTCTTAACCTTCTCTTTTCCAGGCTAACCAGGCCCAGCTCACTTAGTCTTTACTCCTAAGATAGATACTCCAGCCCCTCCATCATCTGTTGCTCTATGCTGGACCCTCTCTAGAAGCTCCATGTCCCTTTTATCCTGGGGAGCCCAGAACTGCCCCCAATACTCCAGGTACAACCTGGAGTATTGTGTTTCAGAAGTTGGGTTGACTTTGAAGGTGTTTTTTCAATACCCATTTTGTCATCTTCTGGCCCTGGCAAGGTGTGTTGTGTTTCTCAGGTGTGTGTATGTGGGAGATCCTCATGCACGGTGTGAAGCCCTTCCAGGGGGTGAAGAACAACGACGTAATCGGCCGCATCGAGAACGGCGAGCGTCTGCCCATGCCTCCAAACTGCCCTCCCACCCTCTACAGCCTTATGACCAAGTGCTGGGCGTACGACCCGAGCCGGCGACCCAGATTTACTGAACTCAAAGCACAACTCAGGTAGGATTATACCTCTGAAGGACAGTTTTCTTGTTCAAAGATGTTTCTTTTTGCTGTACATTTTCTTAAAACACTCTCTTTCCATGAAAAGTGATAGACCGTGTGTCCATATCTCAGTTTTTCCAGCTGAGGCTTAAGCTTGAAATCATCACAAAGATGTTATATGGGTACATTTCATGTTTACAATCACCCTTGAGATCTTTAGAGCACTCAGTGTTTATTTTGCTAGGTCAACAGTAGCCTTGAAAGCAATGTTTAAGTTTTCTGCAGCTATAAATGCACCAGAGGCTTGGTTGCAATTCATTGCCAAATACTTCTTGGTTCTGTTCTGCCTGGTTTCAAAAGTGGTGCTTTGCAGCACACTGTGTTTTCATAAAGCAATTTGAGCTGTCACTGGATGTTCAAGTATATAGAGTGATTCATAAGCAATTAAAATAAGTGATGATTTTACTCTAATTTTGATGCTCTTTCAGAGCAGCTGCATGGATAACTTGTCCTGCTCTGTAACTGCCTTTAAGTCTTTTCCTCTTCCTTAAAACATTGTGCTGTGACACTGCCTGGAATGCCTGAAAATCCTGCATAAGCTAAGAATTTGTATAATTATAGAGGGACATGGGCCCTCTCCCAAAGAATGTATCATTATAAGTGAGTATCTTGCCAAGAAGGGGAGAGGGAAAGTAAATCCAGAGCAGTGAAGTAAATGCACCTCTACTTGGAGGGCTTGAGCAGTGCAAGTCAGCAGCGAGGAGAGGGCAGGAGTGAAGGGCAGGAGAGGTGTCACCAGAAGAAGGAGACAGATTGGTGTCCCAAAGCATGACTCTTCTCAGGGATGTGCAATTGAAGGGTAAGGAGCAAGTCACAGGTTGCAGCAAGGCAGATGCCAGCTGGATCTAAAGCAATGAATGTTTTTTTCCAGTGAGCATGGTTGAGCACCACAGCAGATCTCCTGGAGAGCCAGGGATTTCTGGGCTGGGAACTTTCAGTACCTTGCCTGGCCTCCATGAGGTCTTGCTTTAGCTAGAGACCTCCAGGAGACCTTCCAACCTCAAACTTGACTCACTCTAGATGAAAGGTGGACCAAGGAAGGGTATTTTTGTTTGTCTTTGGATGCTTCGTGGCTTGAGACAGTCTTGAGAGGACAAGGTGCCTTCCGTGGCCACAGCAAGCCTTAAATCCGTCTTCTGAAAGGAAAGACTTTTCTGCCATGCCAAATGGGTGACCTTCTTGTGCTGTTGTCCTTAGGGCTTCTTTGCGCCGCACGGAGTCACCACTCATTGGAAAGGCTGCTGGTTCCCTCACGATGAGGCAATCTCGGGCAGCGAGGCAAGATGGGGTTTGAGAACTCCAATTCCCATGAACTTGCAAAAACAAACCTTTTCCCTGGTGGCCTTTTCTGTGTGTTGTTTCTGCTGCTCTTTCTGGATACTCTCCAGGACAGTTTTTCCAAGCTGGGAGCCGGCTAAGTTACGTGCTTGAAGCCAATGTATATCGCCGCAACATTCCTCTGTTTTAATGACAAGAGGCTATGGGCTTGGGGAAAAAAATCCCTTATTTATGCATCTGAAATAGAACTTTTATGCTCCCATGCTCTTGTTATTTGCTGCTTTCCCCATTTCACACTGACATCTGCTTTGCACAAGCAGTTTTTGAAGCTGCTTGTGCCCTGTGGGGTGGCTGATTTCTGTAGAATTTACAGAGTGCTGTTAGGGTCATAGGAAAACAGAGTGTTTTTCTACATTTTGTTCTGGGTCCAAAGAATTGTATAGGGACCAGTGAGGCTTCAAAGCAAGTGCAGAATTAAATAGATTTGGGGTTTCCAGCCTCACTTCTTCCTCTCTTCTTTGCTATATGTAGGCGTGCAATGTGCTGCAGGTGTTGTGTTGAGAAGGTGGCGCCAGTGTTGGCACAGACTTTGTCACAAGTCACCTCCCAGGCTTGTGCTTGCAAGTGAGGCACCCCAAATGTCCCTTTGGTAGGTAATGCTAATCTTAATAATGTCTGCATAGGAATTCAGGGATATTTCCTGGCAGCATTGAGTGCATTTCCCGTCAGGTACCCATTGCCATCGCCTCTGCTCTATTAAAAATACAAATTAAGGAGCACTTTTATCACTGCTGTGAGATAATTAACCTGCGAAGACTGGGCTTGAGCCTTTCTATGCCTATATTTTCTGTAGCTCTTGCAGTATTGCTTCTTAGCAGAAGAAAACAAGTATTTCATATTAAACCAGAACAGAAAAGTTAAAATGTCGGCACCGTGGTATTGGTGAACATGGTATTCTGAAGTACATGGAGATATGTTGGGATTTCCTATACTGCTGCCTGCAGACTCTCAATAAATGTTTCCTTCTTGATGTCACAGGCCTGTTTTAGTAAAAGGGCTTTTTGTAAAATGAATGAGCTTATCACTTCAGGGAGCTTTTAGTAGCTGGGACATCCTCATCGGTCTCCTCGACCTCAGATGAGCGACGTTTGATCAGACCACCTTAAGATTTTATGTGGAAATGATATGAATAGAAAGACTTCATCTCCTTGCTTGTCTTTGCTGCTAAAAATATACACAGTTTGGGAAAATATGCCTAGATTTGACTGGCTTGACCTTCTGCAAACTAGAAGAGGCTGTTCAGAGCAAACAAGCAGCTGCGCCGAGAAAAGGGCAGAATTATCTCTTGGCTTCCTGGGGCTCCAGCTACGGCCTGGGCTTCCCAGAGTGGAAACAAAGGCATTTTTTTGTAAGTGGGTTTTGCCCTTCGCCTTGGGCCGAGTAACAGTTCTCTGAAACATTCTCAGTCCGTCTTCTCTTCCGGCGGCAGCACTCCGAGGTTGTCCTTGCACTAGGCGGCCTCTTGGCTTGCTTGGAGAGGAGCTCCTGGTGGCCCCGCCAAAGGAGCCGCTGGCATGAGGTGGAAAACTGAGCTGATATTTGGAAAATCCATCTTTTTGGTAGGAATTCATCACCTCCAGTTAATACTGCTGAGCTGCCTTGGGGTGTATGAAACAGTTGGACATTGTGGATACCGTGTTGACCATGACGGTCAGCAAGGTGTCCCTAAAAACGGCTCCTCATAGCCAACTTCTGCCCCATCCCTTCTGCTCCTGTTAGAGCCCAACGGCTCTTTCAAAGGCTTGTTGCAAAACACATTTTATGCAAAATAGGTCTATATTTTTACTTGGGATCCGGCGATATTTCTTGGAAAAGGAAAATGTAGCCATGGTTCCTGGCTGTGGCCCCACACTGACCAATTTCTTGAGCTCCAGAAGGACTATGTGCCAACTAGTACAAGTGGGACCTAGCCTGAAAAGCAGTATTTCTGATAGCTCTTGATGGGCTCAAGGAAGAAACAGTCGAGCATCCGTCTCCTTGGGGCGCAGCCACCGCGTTTCTGCCGTGGTTTTATCAGGATTCCTTGTGCAAATAACTTGCCCGATGTTGTTTTGCTTCCACGTTCTTGTGCCAGCCGAGCGGTGATGGATTGAAATTGCAGCAATGCTTGTAAACTCGCTCTGGAAAAGGGGCACGGATTTCTTATTTCTGTTCCTCCCCTCCTTCTCTTTCTTTTTTTGGCTGGGTGAGGAGAAGCGCAGTTCGAGTCTCCCGCCAAGCAGGAATTTCTTCCCGAGCGGAGCAGGCGAGTTCCCAGCTCCGAGCGCATTGCTGCAGTTGACCTCATCCCTTGCATGAGTAATTTGGGTGGCTGTCGAGCACACCAAGCCGGAGATTAAAAAAAAGAAACTCAGGATTCAGCTCTGCTGCTAGAAACTCCGGAGCGCTCAAGAAGCCGGAATCGCTCCGTGACTCCGGCATTGTCTCGCTGCGATAGCAAGAGCCGCGACCCTGCGCCCACCTCCCAAAGAGCTGGAAAACTTGGCAGCCCCCGATCCCGAGCCTCTCTCTGGGTAGTTTGGAAATGGCAAATATCCAAGCTTAATAATCCACATAGCAGAGCTGGGAGGAGGCTGCAGCGGAGGCAGCAGCGGGATCCCACGGAACTCCGAGTGCTCTCCTCCGTAGGCAGTGCAGGGTAAGTAGCGACCGAGCGTTCCTGCTGCCTCAAGCTCGGTGGGAAATGCAGCCTTTGGACCCGAAAATTTGGGAGCTGGGTCAGGGGTGCCACGGATTTCTGTTGGGCTCAATTTTGCTGACCGTGTTCCTGCGCAGGCGAAAATGTAGGAGGGAGACATTGGATCTTGCAACGTTGCTTTGTTGATAAAGGAAAAGGAGAAAAAATCTTAGTAATTTGGAGTGCTGTTGAGTTTCCATAAAAAGCATATTTTTTGTTTTGAGCCTTTGCAGCAGTTTAGCAGCATATTTTGCTTGTGAAAAATATAGTTTTGTGCTTGAGTTACTGTGTTTGAGGATTTTAAAAGTAAAAAAAAATACTAACACGCAAAAAAAACCCAATTTTTTTTTTAGTCATTTCAACCACAACTTCTAAAAACTTCCTGCCGCCATTTCTGTTGTTAAGGGTGCACAGATAATGCTCCATTTCTTCCCGATGTCAGTGTTTTGAAAACGTAACCCCTCTGTTCAGCAGATGAGCCCTCCCCATGCCCACTCACTTGGCTGTAGCGCTGTGGAGAGAGCTCTGGAACACCCTGGACGGGGCGTTTTATCAAATGCAACGTTTCTGTTTTCCGTAGCACCATCCTGGAGGAGGAGAAGCTGCAGCAGGAGGAGCGGATGCGCATGGAGTCCCGGCGGCAAGTCACTGTGTCCTGGGACTCGGGAGGATCCGATGAAGCCCCTCCCAAGGTAGCTGAGGCAGCAAAACGCTACGTATATGCTAAAAAGAAGAGAAAAACCCTCCTTTTTATCTTACATTTGCTTCTTCAAAGCCTCCTTTGACTGCTTGGCAAATTACCTGTATCATAATCACTGATCTTGAGATCATGGAGCCCACTGTACCAGCCCCATGTCACCCTCTGCCACATGGGGATGTCCCTTATTTTTGTTTTACTTCTCTTCTCCATAGGCAGCTGTATTGCCTCATGGGTTTGGGAGCTCGATTTTCCCTTTCCAGAGTAGACAAGGAGATGAACAGTGGGAATTGGAATAAAATGCTGCTGCATCATGAAAACCTTGTGCAAAGCATTTGATTAGTCCTGTGATTCTGGGGCTCGTCCAGGTAGAATAACTGCTTTTAATGTAGGGCAGACTAACATCACTATTAGAAATTTTTAAGGCTATGATATTGTCTGATCAGAAACATCTGCAAAAAACGACACATTAGAATTGAAATTAATTCTCCTACCAACATTTGGAGGGTGATGTTTGTAACTCTTTGAGATACCCTCACGTATGTACAGTTAGGTTAGGGTTTTGTACAGTGGTTTTTTGTGTGTACAGAAGGATAGTGACTGTTTTCCTAACATTAACAATAAAACTGCTATCCCAAGGTAATCTGGTGGTGACTTTAACACTAGGGGGACTATAGAAACCTGTTTGCACAGTGATGAGTTTGGGGTTTATTTTGGTCTTGTTTTCCCTCTTTGGGTGATTTTTCTCCTCCTGAGACACCCATCAGCACTTTTCCTCGCTTGAGAGTCTCTTTCTAGCTGTCCTTTCTCATAGGAGCTATTTCCATCTGTCTATCTTGGCTGGGAATGGGCTGCAAACAAAACTAGTGTAAGGAAGGATGAGCAAACGCACCTTCCACTCCAGGGCAATTAATTACATGGACATTATTAATCAGACCTAGCTCAGAATAATTCACATAAATAGTAGTTCATACTAACCAACTAAATCAGCTTGCCTGACTCATACTCATTTTGGATCAGGCTTCAGCAAAAGGATCGTTTGGGAACATTCACAAAAGCAACAAGTGGAGGGTAAAACTCTGGAGATTTTTGTATAAAACAGGCTATGTCAGGAAGTGACAGGAAATGTCACTCCTGGAAACTTGACTTAAGAGTTATGCTCTTGTCTGGTCTCCTCTTAATCAGCACAGAGCAGAGTTTTAAGTAATGGCAATGAAATATGCAGAAAGACTTTTCAGCACGGGCATTTTGGGTATTTGAAATATCTAGCAAGAGATTTAGGTCACTCTGTTTTGCACAAAAACAGAGGAAACTTTAATTGTTTTGCAGTAAAAATAGCTAACATTGTGAATCATCTGCAGTATTTATTTCAGTTTTCTCTTAGAGCTTGCTTTTGGGACGCAGTCCCTGTTTGTCTCACCACTATCTTCTGCTTTTACACTGCTCTATTTCTAAAGACTCTCTCAAACTCTCTCTGCCCTTACAGCCCAGCCGGCCTGGTTACCCCAGCCCGAGATCCAGTGAAGGATTTTATCCCAGTCCACAGCACATGGTACAGCCAAACCATTACCAGGTATTAACTGAACTCTGGGCTTGCCCTCTAGCTGAGTGCATGATTCCCCTTGGGCTCGTGGCGCGCGTGGCGAGGTGACCCTCTCCATCCAGCTTCTTGGGGTGACACGTGGAGAGCTCCCGAGCGAGCTCCACGTCTGGACCTTATGCTGCCCTTGCTCTGATCCTCTGGACTCCACAGAGGTTAAAAAGCTCTGGATAGGCGTCCTCAAATAGCCCAGGGATTAGAGAAAGGGTTTTTGTGTGTGTCACGTTTTGGCTTGGCTTCCGTCTTCCGCTTCCCTCCCAGGCTCTGCCCGCCTTGAGTCACTCCGCGCTCTCCCCCTCACTCCTTGAAGGGAAGAAGAATGAACTCCTAGATGTGGAGGAGCACAGGGCTTGGTAATACAACCTCTTTTTCCTTTCTCCTGAAGGTGTCCAGCTACCCAGGCTCTCATGGAATACCCGCCATGGCGGGCAGCATTTACCCCGGGCAAGCATCAATCCTAGACCAGAGCGAGTCCTGGAACCATCGGCCTCAAGAAATATCCACGTGGCAACCAAACGTGGAGGTATCATGGACCTGCATATCTCTTGGGGCACCCTGTCCCCAAAGTCCACTTTATCATTACTATTTGGGTACATCTGGAGGCTACTGTAGGAAAATTAACTACATTTGTCGTTTTTTTCGCTCTCTCAATTTCTTGATTGCTGTGGAATGGGAGTGAGGACTAAATTCATTTCTTTCTGAACTGAAATCTCTTCTCTTTGGGAAGGTTGGGCATAAAGTGTTTGATCTTTTTATGCTAATTCTTGATGAAATTATATTACAGTTTAGGATCTTAACCTAAACACTGGGGCCGAACGAGTGATTGCCAACATTTAATGTTTATCAAAAGAAAGCTGTTCTGGAATTTGTGACTGTTCAGAGAGGAGGGAGCTTTGCTGAAATGAAGTTTTGTGGGAAAGTCCCCCAAACACTTCTTGAGTTATATTCCCAATATTCCTCTTCAGCCTCTTATGATTGCAAAATGCTGCAAGGAACATCATATTATTTCTCCTTTTTGTCTTCTGTCATTTTTCTTTTTTCTTCGTCTGTTCTCTTCTAACTTTTTTCACTCTATTTTAGTGTTTTCGTTCCGTGCTTTACAAGTATTGGCAGAAATTGAAAAAGAAAAATGAACTTGGTTTGGATCTAAATGTGTCTTGCAGTTCTAGTGACTGGATAGTTGTGTTATTGCTCAAGATCAAGGAAATGAATTTGATAAATGTTTTTGTTGTCCTACTCAAATGAAGTGCAAAGTATGTGGTGACAACGTTATTGGAAGACAAAACAGCATTTTTCAAATCTTTTTGGTTGCAGTGATGAGGAAGAAGGCAGTTAAAAGGCATCCCTTCTTCTGGACTGCTTCAGTTCAGAAGGAGATTAGGGACACTGCTTCACCACTGTTGTATGATCGGGCTTTTTTAAGTTTATAGCTTTATAATCCATAGGATATTACAGCTTTTTGTGCACATTTCAAGCAGTGGTGAGGCTAAACAAGCCTAACTTTTGTAGGATTCGGGCCCTTTGGACATACGAGGAATGGGGCAGATTCTTCCTACACATCTAATGGAGGAGAGATTGATACGACAGCAGCAAGAGATGGAAGAAGATCAGCGTTGGCTTGAAAAAGAGGAGCGATTCCTGGTAAGGCTTCATTTCACAGCACTTCTTAATTCATTCCTTTAATGTTTTTTATTTAAAAATTTATTTAAAAATTCTTAAAATTTGCTAAAACTAATCATTTCTATGGACCAAGAATCATTACTGAACAAATAACATTGGGACTAAAACAGAGGTTAAAACAGGTTTTAAATGAAGTGTTCGGCTAGTAACCAAGTCCAGTGTTGTAAATATTTTGAGCAGCTGGTTTCTTTCAGGAGTCTCACTTCCTTGACATGAATATTTATGTTTAGAAAGTTGTGGGTACAGTTCTGTGGCAAGCTGGAGATGGGCTGTTCTTTGTTCTTTTTTTCTTAAGGAGATTAAGGAAATACGTTATGGGGAAGATGTAATTTAAAAGCAGGGGGGAGAGTAATCTTAAAGGTAACAAGGCTCTGAGTTCAACTGAGGAGGAAGAGGAGGAGGAAATGCATTGGTCAATGGTACCTCTTACTGCCATTTCTCTGCACTCTGTGGTCTTCTTGTCATGGTCACAGATGCACCTTTCCAGGCTCAACTCTGGCTTCCCAACTGTCAAAATTTTTATATTCAAAGTTTTATATTCAAATTAATCTCCTGGAGACTGAAAGTCAGTGAGCCAGTGGGTGCAGAAGCCTCACGTGCTGGCTGGAATAATTTACAGCAATTTGTTATGGCTTATGACAAGCATCTGTCATATGTTTGATCTTCTGTTTTTTCATCCAGATTCTTAAGTGTATCTCAAGGTGTGTTTGTTTTGGAAGCTTTAATTTTGCATATGGCTATAAACCATGATTGTATAAATGTGTGGTGCCATAGGTTTGTTAGAGGAGGAAAGATTGAGTAAATACACAGGGTATGTAAAGCAGAAAATGTTAATGGGTTGGATAAAATCTCTACTGGCTGTTGATAGGTGCCAGAGTCGGGATGCTGCTTTGGATGAGAGGACACTGAAGGGGGATTTTGGAAGCCTTCACTGGAAGTCATTGGGAACTGGAGGTCTGACATTGGCTGGTAGAATTTAAAACAAAACAAGACACTGAATCCAGATTGCTGCATCCAAAATATTCAAGTTGTTGTGAGGGAGGAGGCGATGGGGAGACTTCCATCCTAATTTAGACATTAATTTTTCCAGGCTTAAGGCATTTTCTTGGGACTCCTACAAGTGATGCAGAGTGTAGCTCAGATTCATCCACCGTGAGTTAACACTTCTTAGGTGGGAATTAACTTCCCAGGTGGGAATTAGTACCTGGAAAAGGAGGCACTGTGGTTTCAGGTGCTGTGGTCTTAGACTGTGTGGGAATTGTGACCTTTTCTGCAAAATCACTGGTAATCATTCATAGCCTTTGCTCTTTGGAATGAATCCAACCTCTGCACTGTTGGACACTGGCCACCCCCAGATTGCTGCGTGGGCCCATTGGTTGTCTCAGGGCCTTGAGAGAGCAGTGAGAGGTGTTTCTAAACTACTCATAATCGGTGTCTGTCTGGGACTGTTCTCTGCATCTCATCATTGAGAGCCGCTCTTGGAGAGCTTGCAGACCCCCTGGAGATGCCCAGTTGACACATGAGAGTCCAAACACAGTGCAGAAATAATCTAAATGTTTCTAAAAAGAAATAATCTAAATATTACTACGTGTACTCCCATGTCTCCCTCACTGCCCAGTGTCTTCTGGCAAAGGAAGGACCTTCCTTCCCTGGGACTTTCCAGATTTACCTCACAGATCTGTCAACGCTGTCCTCAGCCTCCTAAAATACATCCCACCCCTGCTGCCGAGATTGGGGCCCCTCAGGCATTTGGAGAATCTCTCCTCTTTCCCAGGAAACTAATAGTGAATCATTTAAGGCGAGACAGGCGGTGAGAAGAAAACTCCTCCGTGGTGTTTCTGGGAGCGCGACCTGAGTGACGCCAACTCGCTCGTGACTCAGCTCCTTGTGGCTCCTGAAGCGACAGAAACCACCTCCAAACCCGTGAGCACCAGTACCCACCTCCTGAAGCTCTCAGGGCTGGAAGAGACCCCCCAGCTCAAGGATTAAGCTGCAGGGGCACCAAAAGGGTTGTTTTTTAGTGCTCCGCTGGGCTGTTGTCGTCTGCGTGAGCCGTTTCCCCAAGCTGGTCCTTGGAAAGCCCCTAGCCAGGCCTTGGGCTGAGTGCTCTGTGTGCCAGCTGCACTCGTCCCTACATCCAGAATGCGGGAATCGGCCTCCAAAAGGAAGGAAGAAACTGCTCTGTGGAGGGAGCTCTGTGAGAAGCTCCCAAATAAAAATAAATCTGTGGTTTAAGAAATGGCGAGTCAAGAAGCGCTGAAAATTTGAACTGTGACGCGTTTTCCCAACAGAAGGTGAGAAGAGACTCAGGAAGTGGAAGGTTTTGGCCAACGGGTGTTTTTTCTTTCGTTTGCCTTTACCGATGTATTTATTTTTCTTCCCAGCACTGACTTTTTTTCCCCTTCTCAGCCCTCGCTAAGGAGAGGATGTGGCTCCTAGTCCGACAGTTTCAGTGGACGCTGGTTCCGTCCACAGACTTTGTGGCAGGCATGATGAATCTGCATTGGGAATCTGTGTCTCCAGGAAGGGGCCCAGGAAATGCCTCCAGTTTCTTTAGGTATAGAAGGAGATGAAGGGAAGCTTGAGCGTGGTGTTGTTAAGGTCTGCTGCAGGGAGCTGCAGAAGACAACCCTGAGCAAGGCGAGTGGAGGCAGGAGGACGAGGTGGGAAAACGTCTCTGTGCCTCTTTTCAGGATATAACTTAGGGAAGTTGATGGGATTTATCCTGTCACTTCTTAGATTGAGAATCTAAGGCTGTTTTTTTCCCTTCAGGTTTTGCAGAGTGGGTTTCTTCTTTTGTTTTTTTTTTTTTTTAATGAGCTCCTTTTCAACATATATTTAATTTCCAGCCTGTCTGATGTGGTTGCGTTGACGGTGCCAGACATTGTTTTAATCTATATAAAGCAGGCCTATAGGCACATGCCTTTCAGTAATTTCTCAGCAGACAGAGCAAGGCTGAATTAAGAAATTAATAGTCCTTTCCCGCGATAGGCTTAGAAGAAATAACTCACATAGTTTCCTTATCGTGTTTGGTTTGGGTTTTTTTTTTCCTAAAATTCCCACATAGCTGCGGTTTGTCACTGAGAACTGCGACTGAGCAGTTACTAAAATAAGATTTTAATTTTTAGCCTGAGAAAATGCTACCAAGACATCATCACTGGACATGTCGTGAGAACACCGAGACGTGCACGTTCTTTTATTAGAGAAGGAGCAGAAAGACTGGGAAGAAAAAAGAGATTTTTTCCAGTGTGTCAACAGACACATCCTGTCCGAAAAATCCTCTTGACGTTCCTGAGGATCTCAGAGGAGCAGGGCAGTTACTTTTCTAGCGGTTTAATTATCTGCAAGATTTAAATATTAACTACAATTCCTCCCCCAAATCCACACCTGTAATGAGCGTAACAGCAGCACAGACGTTTTGTGCCCAAGCCTGCATTTGAGTTCAGCCCAGCTGGTGTTTTCCCAGGAAGATATTCCCAGCACAGTGAGGTCAAGTAGGAAATGGATGAATTTAGACATGAGGATGTTACATTAAACTCACTGACGGATCTCAGGATTTAAAACCTGAGCAACACATTGCTGTGGGAAGCAATTGGAAATTCCAGGATCCGGGCAGTTTCATCACCTGGAAGGACTCTACTCAGTTATCCTACCAAGTTAAAATGCAAGTTTGATCTCCACCATGAAAAGAGTTTGCAGGGCAGCTCTCGGGCTGTGTATTCCTGCTTCTGGCTCTGTTAAAAAGCTGAATCTCTCTCTCGTTTGGAGCCGAGGTTGGGGTGAATTTCTGGAGTAATAAATAAATTCTTTGCATTCTTAGCTCATTGAGTTAAAGACCCTGAGATCAAATTGTCTCACTGTTTCCAAAGACTTTTGGCTTCTTTTAACTTACTTTTTTTTTCAGTTTAGTGGAAATAAAAAGGAACTCTTTCATTGCCGAATTTGAGCCTTTCGGAACAGTTTTTTCCCTCATTTTCCTCATTTTTTCCATTGGGAAGAATAAACACAAGACCTTTTCCCTTCATCTCCTTCCAGAAACCTGATGTGCGGCTCTCCAGGGGCAGCATCGACCGCGAGGACGGAGGTCTCCAGGGCCCGGTACGTAGGTGCAGGAGCTTCCCAGCTCGAGCCCCGCTTCCCAGTGGGACACGTTGCGCTTCAGCACGGAGATGAGTTAAAGCTTTTCCTAAATATTCCCACTGCGGTTACGGGTGGCTCCCAAGTGGCTCCAGTTCTGCAGGAGCAGCAACCAGGGCAAACTTATCCAGGCAGCATTTTGGGGGAGTTGGAAGTTTTTCCTATTTTCCCCTACAAGCTGCTGATGAAACAAATATCCCTACGTTTCTGTAAACACGTTGCAATTATTTGTTAAGTGTCTATGTGATACTAAGCTCGACCTTTTATGTTAAAATGGAGAGTTTCTCCATCTGCTGTCAAGCAGATTAAAATAACATTTGCAGTTGTTTAAGTATCTGAAGGGTTTCCCATAAGGAATGTAAATGTTACAGTGTAGTATTCCTCAGAAATCTGACCGCGGGAAGAGATCTACTAGGAAGCCAGTGGAATAAACCCCAGAGCTGCTCATTTACTGGCAGACAGCAGCTGCAGCACTGAGATTCTTTCTTAGGGGCTCCATGTTTAAATAAAAACGATCTATTTTTTTAATTACCAGTGGAGCGACTGGTTCGCACTGATTGGGAACAGGGATTTGGGCCGGAGCTGCATCAGCGAGCAAAGCCTGACGGTTGCTTTGTTGCTCGTCTTCAGCCATCATTTCTAAAGCATTCCTCTGAAATTCATGCTTTAAATTCATATTCCTTGTTAGCTTGGGGTGCTCTTTTAAAGCCCTAGTCCAACTTCAGGATTGACTTCCTACCTGAGCCCTCACATACCCCAGATTTAGGGACATTTTTGGCATTTACCACCAAAACACCGTAGTAAATGCGTATTAACGACACAGTGTGACAGAGCCTCCAGAGAGCTTTTCAGGTTCAGAAACCACTAAAATACTTCCATGCATGACTCTGGAAATAGTTATCATTAAGTCTTGACTGTCATATCCTTAAATAACAGTCATTAAAGATGTGCACGTGCCCTAGGAGAATCCCAGGAGATGCTCAAGGACGATGTGTTGGGGGCAGTGGGTTTGAATCACAGAATCACACACAGAAGGTTCAAGGTTGGAAGGGACCTCTAGAGATCATCTAGTCCAACCTCCCTGCTCCAGCAGGGACACCTACAGCATGGGGTACCTGGTCACATCCAGGAGGGTTTGGAAGAGACCTCCAGAGAAGGAGACTCCGCAACCTCCCTGGGCAGCCTGTTCCAGGGCTCTGTCATCCTCACAGTAAAGAAGTTCCCCCTCATTCTTCCTTGAAGAACAGCTTCTTGCAGCAGCCTAGTTTGATGTTGAACAACCCTAACTATAGGCTCTGCTGTCAGATCTACCTGACACCATAAAAATGTAAAATGAATTTCCAAAAACACCAGGCAAGAAGTTTGAGTAAGTGCTGAGCTGCAGGTGCCCTGCAGGTTCTGTTATGGAGAGAGGCATGTTCTCACTGCACGGAAATTCTCTCTGTTTTATAAGTAAAAGCCTTATTGGGATGTTTTATTGCTAGACATAGTAAATTATCAGGGTTTTACTCTGCAATGGAGAGTGTTGTGCAGTTCCATTGGCATAAAATGTATCTCTCTGGATTACAGCATCTCTTCTGACACAACTTGGGGGCTTTGCTTGAGGTGTTAATTCGCTTGTGACTGAACAGATTCTCATCTTCCTTGGCATGAAAATGGGATTTCTGTAGCTACTGAAAGAAGTCTCTTGAATTCATCACTAAACACTTCCAAACAAGGAAGCCAATTGCCCTTGATTTAGAGCTGCACAGTGAAAACAAAAAGTGAAAGAGCCAAGAGGCCTCTTGACGTTACCAAAACCCCCCGACTCCTAATTCCTCCTCTGCCGTTTCCTCTTGGCCCCGTTGTTTCATTTCTGCATGAAGAGCAGAAGCGTTTGCCCCATGGTGTTATCAGCCTCGCCAGGATAAATTGCTCAGAGCAAAGGCAGAGCTGCTGCGAATTTATTATAGCCAATAAATGACCAGAATTTATTAGAATGGTACAGGTAGGAGCCTAACTAGCAAGGGGAGAGAGAGGAGAATGTGGTGGGAAACATGCTGAGAACTGTGTGCTCTTAGTGCTTAGGATCACCCTACGGAGTCTAACAGTGTTTTTTTATTTTATAGGGTTGTAACCAGCACATATATCAGCCTGTGGGTAAGCCAGGTAAGCAGCAGATTCCTCCATGGTCCCTTGAATTCCTGTTTCCAGGTGTGCCCACCACCGGAATGAACGGTCGCTCGCAGTGGTAGTTTTATTGTGCGTGGTGTTGTTCCTCCGCCTGTTGCCCTTTCTGCTGCAGCCAACAGGGATGTGGTCAGCAAATGGACCCCTGGAAAGCTCTTGGAAGGGGCTCAGGCAGCAGGCGGGGGGTGTCTGCGGCAGCTGGGTCACTGTGTTGTGTCGCAGGGCACTGGACCACGTTGCGGTCTCCGATTGTGCTGGGGCAGTGAGGAACCCTCGGAGCAGCCACAGGCTGCAGGGAGGCGGGTGCTGCCGCCCCGTCACTCCCCTGAGTCGTTGCTTTTGCTCCCACAGATCCGGCAGCTCCGCCAAAGAAGCCTCCCCGTCCTGGAGCGCCCGGCCACCTGGGCAGCCTCGCCAGCCTCAGCAGCCCCGTGGAGAGCTACAACGAGGGGGTGAAGGTACCTGGCGCTCCGGCCCGTGCCGGGAAACCTGTGGGGCCCCTCGGAGGCCCCTTTTTCCTGAGGCAGGGAAGCGGTGGGAAGCAAAAGGGACGAAGCCTCCCAGCTCCATGCACTGTCACGGGTCACAACCCCACCAGGCCTCCATCAGGAGCGGAGGGGACATGTCCAGCCTAATGCTACGTCGGGGCGCTCAACACCCGCTGGCTCTGGGGAGGGAAGAGGGGATTGGGGTGGCCAGGGCTGGTGTCTGGGTAAGAGGCTGTGATCGTGGTGAGAAAAGAGGCTGTGACACCAAAAGGAAAGCTTTTTGGAGCTGTGAGGAGCTCCAAGACAGGCTTGGCCTGGTTCCCCCGTTGCAGCAACTCCAGGCCCGTGGAGCTCCCCCAGAAGGTGTCCCGAGGCTCTGCCTTTGGGTGGGCGCCCTTTTCGTTCCTTGGCTTTGGGACCTAGGAACCGAGCAGCCTCGGGGCCTGCTGGAGGCAGTAGCAGAGCTCGGGACCCTGCCCGGACACAGTGTCCCAGCGGCTCTGGGAACGGGAACATCCCCCTAGGCTCAGCCCTGCCGTAAGGACCGTAAGGAAGGGCGGGATCTGGCACCAGGGTACACGGATGAGGCAGAACACGACCCTGAAATCAGAGTGTGTGGCAGAGGTAGCGAGTGGGAGTGGGGTTGTTTATTGCTCCCTGGGGCCAGGGCTGTGCAAAGAGGAGCCTCAGTGAGTGACTTGGGGAGGTCTGGCTCTAAAAACAGTGACACCCAGCACAGCAGAAGAGGTTAAGGAACGCACGTGTCCCTGCTGTGAAGTGTTAGCAGCTCCCCTGGGAATTAAGTGGCTTGAGGAGAATCCCTCTGGAGCGGTTCCTGAGCAGCTCCTGCCGTGGCTGCCGTTGGTCACGGGGACCAGGAGCAGCTCGGCCGCATTCCCTGCTCCTGGCTTGAGCAAAACACGACGCTTCGCAGGATGAGGCAGCGTTTTCCACATCCCTGGAGCAACCGCTGGTCTGCACGAGGGGCCTGGGGGTCGCAGGACGCCTGGGTCCTCTGCCTGCTCTGCCACTTGCCGCCCGGCTTTGCATGTCCCCCCCGCACACGGGCGCATGGCCGGCTTTTTAACTGGCCTCTTACTGCTGCGTGGGGTGTGGTTGGATTTGTTTTCCTCTCCTGCTGAGTTTTTATTAATCCTGGTTGTTCTGTTGTTTTGTTTTTCCTTCCTTTCGGGAAATTCCTTTCCCCTCTCCCCGCGCTGTGCTCGCCGCTAGCCATGGAGGGTAAGCAGCACGTGCCGCGCGGCCGGGCCACCCCGCTCCTCCCTGAACTCCGGCGCCTTTCCCACATCCCACCTCATCCCAGAGCAGTCCCCGGGCGGGGGGAGCTGTGGAAGGGGAGCGCGGCACAAATCCCTGCGCTCCTTCCTCAGGCCAAGCTCCAGCCGAGGGCTGCGTAGGCTCCACGAGGAAAAGCCCCAGGTGTTTCCTAGGAAGTCGACAGAAACGAGGTCGGGAGATGCTGTAGGTGCTCAAGTCGACGCTAGGTTGCTTAGGATTTGTGAAAAGGCCGTTTGCAGGGCCCTGAAATGAAGTTTTCCGAGGTTGTTTCTTCTCACACCAGGATAATTTCAGCCCGTCCTGGATGTGGCTTTAGCCGGGAACAGCTTGCTGGAAGTTTTGCCTGAGAAAGGACTGCAGGATTTGCAGCGCGTTGGTCTTTTTCTGATCTGTTGGAAACAAAGTGCATGAAAACGTTCAGTCTTTGCCCCCACATCCTTGACACCCTTTTTATTAATCCCCTGTTAATGGCGCTTCCACTAACGAAACGCTCACGAATCCGCACTGCAGTAGCCTGTCTTTCCTCTGTCCCTGTGTCCAGTGTGTCCCTAGAGCGTGGGACAACTTTGGGGACCGAGGGCCCTCTGTAGCTCCTTGTCTCAGCCACAAAACTCACCCATCAGTGGTGAGATGTGTGGGTGTAGATTTCACATCTACTGCTGCACTGGAAGCCCTCCGGGAATTCCTGGTGGGAAGCGCTCCAGGCTGACATCACACCCAGGCCCGGGAGCGAAGGGACTTTCCTTGCGCTGGTAGTGGGCGGAGGACAGGGGGCCGGGGCTGAGCGGCCTCCGCCTGCCCGCAGATCCAGCCGCAGGAGATCAGCCCTCCTCCCACCGCCAACCTGGACCGCTCCAACGACAAGATCTACGAGAACGTGACCGGGCTGGTCAAGGCCGTCATAGAGATGTCCAGTAAGATACAGCCCGCCCCGCCGGAGGAGTACGTGCCCATGGTGAAGGTAAGGGGGCCTTTTCCTACAGACAAGGGGGGTTCTCTGCTGTGTGACGGCGGTTTTGGCCGTGGTGCAGAGTGATTCCTGCGTGGAGCTGATGTCCTGCTCTTGTCCCCTGTTCGCAGGAGGTTGGCTTGGCGCTGAGGACGTTGCTGGCGACAGTGGACGAAACGCTGCCCGCGCTGCCCGCGAGCACCCACCGCGAGGTACGTGGAGCGGGCGGGAGGCCGCCAGCCGCCCCCCATCACGTGCGGGCGGCACTTTGATTCAAGGGAGCCCTCGGGGGGTCTTTCTCGCTGTGGGTTCAGCCGCTCCGTGAGCTACAGCCAGCACAAGCACTCTGGAACCGCCGGAGCAGAGCCCGAGCCTGGTGTGGCTGGAAGCGATCGTGGAGAAAATACCCTGTAGTAACCAAGGGATGAGATGCACGGAGGGCCCTCAGGGAGTCAGGAAGAGGTGGTATTTTTCCTATAAACCCAAATCAGTGGGATAATGCCTGAGTACGATTGCTTAAATCTGCTCTTGGGCAGTCACCGCCACCTGGCTCAGGCGGCACTGGGTTGCATCCTGCCCCATTTCGTGGTTGCTGCTCTGAAGAGAAAAAGGGGGCAATGCTGCCGGGGAGGTGCTGGGCTGACCCCGTGTCCCTCCCACAGATCGAGATGGCCCAGAAGCTGCTCAACTCGGACCTGGCTGAGCTCATCAACAAGATGAAGCTGGCGCAGCAGTACGTCATGACAAGCCTGCAGCAGGAGTACAAGAAACAGATGCTGACGGCTGCGCACGCACTGGCCGTGGACGCCAAGAACCTGCTGGACGTCATTGACCAGGCCAGGTTCAAGATGATGGCTCAGACGAGGCCGCATTAGCGGCCGCGCCAGCACTTCGGGCGTCGCGCTCGGAAGGATCTCGTCCCACCAGCAGCCAGGAGGCCCCCAGCGTGGTCCTGCCGTTGCGGCGGCTCCCGCTCGGGCAGAGCTGCCCGGCGCCTCACGGGCCTCTCTCTCTCCTCACAAAAGTTGAACCCGGTTTTGAGTGCAGAGCCGACTGGCCCGGGACTCCGCGACGCGAGCGGCGGCAGCACAGCAGGGAGTGCACGAGGCCACAGGGCAGCACCGCTCGACTCCCTGCGCTCGCTGGGACCAGGCCCGAGGCGCCGCGGGAGGATTTTGGCAAGTGAAGAATTCGGGGAAACCTCAGGGCTGAGAATTCTTGCCCACCGTGTAGGAACTATCCGGACTGGATTTTTTTTTTTTTTATTAGAACACTTAACGTCGCAATATGCTAACCACAATTTACAGAGAAAAAAAATAAAAAGCTATATTTTCAAGACTTCGGTCGTTTCGAGACAAACTAAAGCCCTCTTCATTTTCCTGCCTTTTATTTTTCCGTGGACGTGTGAAGCATTTTGTTTGGAAACTAGCTGTAGAACCCAACGGAAAACTCTCGTGTCTTTCACCAGAATAACGTGCCAGGTTTTTGTAGCAATGTTATTTTCCTTGGAAGCAAAAATGCTGCTTTGTACCAGAGCAATTCAGAGCCGCATTTAGAGGAGTCCTGTAACCATTCACGTTCCCCATTTTTATATAATTTATAAAGAAAGATTAAAGCCATGTTGACTATTTTAAACCCACTGTAGTTAACTAACCCATCTTTTTGTCTATCTTGCCTGGGAGGAGTGACAGTAGAGCAGTGTAATTAGATTTTCCTTGGTTTTCCAGTTATACCATCTGTTCTGTTAAAATAAAAACTACACTCCCTTTTTGCTGTTGAGGGATATAAATTATTCTCAGGAAGAATATAATGAACTGTACAGTTACTTTGACCTATTAAAAAGGTGTTACCAGTGACATCCTGGCTGTGATGTTTATGCCGTATGTGATGTGTGTGCGCAACTTGAACATCCCTAAGTTTTGTCCCTTGTCCCCTTCCTCCTTATCCCCATGGCCAGTCCCCGAAGCTGTGAAGAACCGACTGAAAAGGGTGTAAAAAGCAGCAGGGATCCAGTCTGGGAAGGCAGGAACACTGCAGATCACTCACATGTCTTGCTGCAGGGGGACAATAAGTTTGTGTCACTTTGGAGCTCTTCCTGTTGCAAAACCAGAGCATCTTACCAAGACACTGACAAACTTAAGTTACACTTAAATGTCCTTTATTACAGACATGTACAAAAGCACTTAGTCAAAAAGACCAAAGCCCATGTCATCGTCAGATTCCTCTGATTCTTCTTTCTTTTCTTCTTCTTTCTTCTCCTCAGCTAGAAAAGGAGAGGAGAGTAGAGTCAGTTTCCATCTTCCCAGGTCACAAAAATGAGCACTGAGTATCCGCTACTACAGAAAACCTGTGTAAAGGCCTTGGCATGAGGAGCCCAATCACAAGCCTGTCTAATGACGGATGGCAACACATGTTTCTATCACAGGAAACTTTTACACCTGATAAGCACTAAGCACAGCCCAAATCCTTTCCCCCAATCCCTTTCAAACCCGCTCAGCTCCACAAAACAGCTCCTCTCCCTCCAGCCTTCCCACTGAGGTCCCCATGAGGCACAGGGCAAGTTCAGCCTTCCCACGTTAACGGGGAACACTGCGCACTGCCCGAGAGCGCCAATCCGGCCTTTCTACACGTGCGGACGCTGCTGTGGAGCACACGCAGCCGCGAGGCCGCTCAGAGAGCGGCCGCTGGGCAGTAGTGAGTGCCCCAGGGGAGATCCCGGGCCCCACTCACCAGGGGCGGCCCCGCCGGCGGGAGCGGCGCCGCCGGCCGGAGCGGCCGCAGCGGGGGCGCCGCCGCCGGCTCCCACGTTACAGATGAGGCTGCCGATGTCGATGTTGGCCAGCGCCTACGGGGGGCGAAAAAGGCAGAAAATAAGAAATAAACCCTCACTCCAGGGCAGGAAGCGCTCGGCGCAGCGCGAGGCGGCCCCGGGCGCAGGCGGCCCCTTCCCCACCTTGGCGAAGAGGCCCGGCCAGAAGGGCTCCACGTTCACGCCGGCCGCCTTGATGAGCGCGTTGATCTTGTCCTCCTGCAAGGAGAGCGGCGCTGAGGCGCGCGCGCCCAACGGCCACGCCGCGGCGCGCCGCCATCTTGCGGGCGCGCGGGCCGCCGCGCACTCACCGTCACGGTGACCTCGTCGTCGTGCAGGATGAGCGCGGAGTAGATGCAGGCGAGCTCGGAGACGGAGGCCATGGCGGGCGGCGCGCGGTGCCAGTCGCCGGGTGGTTCGGCCTTAGCTTCAAGCGAAGGACACGGCACCTTGTGCGGCCTCTGAGGAAAGGAGGGCCGCGCGCCGCGGGGGGGCTTATAAGGGGCGGCGGGAGCCAATGCCGCGCCGCGCAGAGAGATGCGTCACAGAGACGTCCGCGCCGCTGGCCAATCCGCGAGGGGCGGCGCGGCGCGGTCCAATGCCGTGAGGGAGCGCTCCGCCAATCACGGCGTGGCGGGACATGGTGGGCGGTGGCGCCGCGTGAGGGCGGCTGGGGGAGCGCGGCGCGACATGGCGGCCGCGCTGGCCTGAGCGTTACCCGGGCAGCGCGCGCGCCTCCGGGCGGCCCTCGGAAAGACGGAGAGCGACCCGGGGGCGTTCGTCAAAGCGGGGCTGAGAAAAAGGGTTGTTCTGAGGGAGGGGCGAACGCTTGGCTGATAAAGCCATCTCTATCACACACTAATATATATAATATATAATATATAATATATAATATATAATATATAATATATAATATATAATATATAATATATAATTACTATTTCTGTGCAGCCTACAGGTCTGATAGACAGGAGTGAAGTTACTCAGAATGAACTGTTTTTCTTCAGACTAATGTTTATGTTTGGCATATAGGTTGAATTTTCCCCTCTAAAAATTGTGTGGAGAGAAATTAAAGGATGCAAATAGGTTAAACTTCAAAAAAAAAAAAAAAGTGCAGAATCAAATTCAAGGATGTGCAAGAAGCCTGATGGTTTAAAAAGCCCCCCGAATGACCATATAGCAACACTGGCAAAATGTACCCAGCACCCTAATATTAAATATTTGCATAAATATATATATAATACGTGTGTGTGTGTGTGTGTTTAGATATATATATATACATAGCTTTGCACAGCACTGGCGGAGAGGCCGGTGAGAAAAGCATGCTGAAAAGCTGCAACACGTAAAGAGAAGGGTCGTTTTCTGCCCGAGGAGCCTGTAGATACGATTTCCATCTCTCTACATGAGTTTACCCAGTGCCAGCTTGAGGCAGGAGGCGGCCTGTGAAGGAAAATCATGTGCAGAACGTAACTGCTCCCAGATTTCATGCAGATCCACTGGAAGCAGAATCTGGAGTTTCTTTAAGGGCGTGCGAACTGTGAAGGAATTCCTTTACAGCAACTACAGCACTTTATATATGTATATATGCATACATGTACATATGCAAGAGACCCGAAGTTCAGTGGGGAGGAATCCCACATGGATCCCATGCCAGGCTGCAGTTACATACATAGAGGAAGGAACTGCGGAATGAATTGCCTATGTGGAGGGAAAAAACTATGAATCACTATAAATTGCTAATACAAACCCTGAATGAAGGCAATGAGCCTTTATTAGAACTACTCACATACCTATTACTTTGTATCTAACTTTATATCTAAGCTAATTACCTTATGTGTAAAAATGCTGCCAGGTAAGAAACCACAGCAATGCAAAATAATCGGCTCCATCCCAAACATCCTGCATGGAATAGAAAATAACCCTAAATGCCCTGAATATTGTCCCTGAGCAACCTTCTGTCAAGAGGCAGAGCTAAAAAATAAACTATTATAGCATACGAGTTTAAACGTGACATTACATGAGCCTGGGCTCTGTGAAGATATTAATTAGATGAGATCTGCCTGCCCCCTTGCTTCATGCCTGTCTCGCTGCGTTTACTGAGTGACACTGATGCGGCTGCTCCGGAGGGTTTGGAGTAAAGTCCTGATGAAAACAGATCACTGCAGAGTAACGGAGATAACGAACAGGTCTTGCTGCTTCCCAGAGCTGCTCCGAACGGGAGCAGAAGCAGGTCTAGGAATGGAGTGGTGTTTGCTCCTGCGGCTGCCTGTAAACACCTCAGCATCCGTCGCACACACGCTGCAGGGCGAGGAGATAGCGGTGATGGGAGCGCTTAAGAGACTGATTTATCACCCATTTATTGAAGTTTAAAGCAAAGCTTTTCTGGACTGACACTCCTTAACACTGTCTGTAATAATAATTACTTCTCACAGTTCTTATCACTCCATTATCCGTCACTATCACTACTTCACAAAGTCCTTAAGAGTTTTATACCAAATTAGTTGGGAAAATACAGCAGTCTGGGACTGATGCTGTATTTAGGGCATGACGATGGTCCTTGGTAGTCATCAAAGCGGCCAAACTCAGGAGCTCTTTGCTGAGGGGAGTGGATCTTTTTCTTATCCCCGCCAGCCAATTTGGGAATTTTGTCTTTTTGTGAGATGTGCTGCATGAGGCTGCTTATGTTCCAGTTCAAAGTGAGCTAGTGTTCCAGTTCAAACCGGGCCTTTGTGTGGCCTGGAATCACCTGCATAGGCTCGTGGTCTCCCCAAAGCAGTCGCTTTGTGGCAGCGAAGGGACCCGGCAGCAGCTAATCCCTTCTGGGCTGCCTTGCTGCTGTCGCCCCCAGTCTCTTCACACTTGCTTGGTGTTAGCAGAGCCCCGCTGTTGTCATCTTGTTCCTGTTCAAAGTGCCCAGTTTGTTCCCTTTGCATCCTAACCGGCTCTGCAAGCGTTATCTCCCCTTTTTAGCAATTACCCACACTAATGAACTTCAGGGTGACGAGCACGATACCATCTCCTTTACCCAAGGGCACCCGGCTAAGTCTGACTTCCAGGACAGGAAAGGTGCAGCTGTTTTCCAGTAAAGATGCCCCTTTCTTCTCTGCATCTATCCAGCTGGATAGATGAGGGCAGAGCGGTGGATGTCATCTATCTGGATTTGAGCAAGGCTTTTGACACTGTCCCTCACAGCATCCTCCTGGGCAAGCTCCAAAGGTGTGGGATAGATGTGTGGACGGGGAGGTGGATTAGGAATTGGCTCGATGGCAGGGTGCAGAGAGTGGTTGTCAATGGTGCGGAGTCCAGCTGGAGGCCTGTACTTAGTGGTGTCCCCCAGGGGTCAGTTCTCGGTCCGGTCCTGTTCAACTTATTCATTAAGGACCTGGATGAAGGGCTGGAGTGCTCCCTCAGCAAGTTTGCCGACGATACCAAACTGGGTGGAGTAGCTGATAGCCCTGAGGGTTGTGCTGCCATCCAGAGGGACCTGGACTGGACAACTGGGCGGTGAGAAACCTCATGAGGTTCAACAGGGGCAAGTGCAGGGTCCTGCACCTGGGGAGGAATAACCCTGGACACCAGTACAGATTAGGGGTGGACCTGATGGAGAGCAGCCCCGCAGAGAGAAGGACCTGGGTGTCATGGTGGACGACAAGTTGACCATGAGGCAGCAGTGTGCCCTGGTGGCCAAGAAGGCCAATGGGATCCTGGGGTGCATTAAGAAAAGCATCTCCAGCAGGTCGAGGGAAGTGATCATCCCCCTCTACTCAGCCCTGGTGAGGCCACATCTGGAGTAGTGTGTCCAGTTCTGGGCTCCCCAGGACAAGAGGGATGTGGAGCTGCTGGAGAGAGTCCAGCGCAGGGCTACCAGGATGATCAGAGGCCTGGAACATCTGCCCTATGAGCAAAGGCTGAGAGAGCTGGGCCTGTTCAGCCTGGAGAAGAGGAGGCTGAGGGGGGACCTGATCAGCGTGTATAAATACCTCAAGGGAGGCAGTGAGGAGGAGGGGGGCGGCCTCTTTTCAGTGGTGGACAGTGATAGGACTAGAGGAAATGGCTTCAAACTGAAGCATCGGAAGTTCCACAGGAACTTAAGGAAGCATTTCTTCACTGTGAGGGTGACAAAGCACTGGAACAGGCTGCCCAGAGAGGTTGTGGAGTCTCCTTCTTTGGAGATCTTTAAAACCCGCTTGGATGCAGCCCTGTGCTCTAGGTGACCCTGCATGAGCAGGGGGGTTGGACTCGATGACCTCTGAGGTCCCTTCCAACCTTCGGCATTCTATGATTCTATGATTCTATGATTCTATGATTCTATGATTTGAGGACATGCTGCACTCTGCCATGCTGAATTTGGTGGGAGGTTGTGGAATTTCATAAAGCACCTGGGATCATTGAAGTGATTTTTCCAAGTTTGTTCAAGATTATTGAATTGATTTTTCCAAGTTTGTCCAAGAACAGCATAAGGTGCATATTAATATCTGCTTCTCTTACCCTTCTGGAAAGCACTTTTCTCCTTTATTTTTTTTTTCCTATCTCTGTTTTGTACTTGCTGATAACCAGGTTCAAATCCAAGAGATGTTCCTATACCTGAGTTCATACCTGAAGGGGAAGCCCAGCTTGGAAACCTGTGTGGATGATAGGCCAATGGTGGGAAAATGGAACAAAACTGTGAGGATGAGTGTAAAGTGCATGTCCCCAATAGGTGGTGCTGCATCTTTTTCCATAGCGTTGAATTTTTGTGTTATTGGACACGGTCACCTAGTGAAGTGTAGTAATCTAGTATAGTAATCTTGAGTGTAGTAATCTAGTAATAATATTTATTATTATTATTATATATATTTATCGTTTATATATAAATTCTCTTTTGTTCTCATTGCATTCATTTATTTTTGTTTTTATCTGTGTTCTACTTGTGATTTTGTTCTGCAGAAAAAAATCTATCAGCAGGCTACGGATTTTGTGAGAAATCTAATATTTTACCTCTAGTAGAGTGTAAGTTTGGATCCTCTCATAGTTGCAAATCAAATCTACATGATATTTCCTTATGAAAAAGTTCTTACCATTCAGTTATAATGAATTTTGAGCATGCTCTGAAATACCACTTGTCAGGTGGAATGAACAAAAGAAAACATTAAAAGGAGAACAGGTTAAAAGGACTCCAATGAGCGTCTGCCTGTTACTGCAAAGTGAGAGTAGAAAAGAGCCATAATTTTCTCCTTCCCTCGCCACACAGAAAAGTTGTTCAAAGTTCAGAGAAGCATGAAAATAGCCTAAAGGAACTAAAGGACTCCTGCACATGAGAAAACAGTACTTAAAAATATTTAAACAATTCACTATTTAACCAATTGTGTAAGTCTGCAGTCCTGTGTACACGTCAATATGCCCTTTTGCTTATTCTAAATCCACAGAATCAATATGAGCATGTTGCAGGATAGGATGTTCCAGGATTCCTGCTGTTTTCAGGATTATAATTTCCAGGTAATTTCTGAAATCAACTGCAGAGTATTCTTGGGGGCCAAGGCAAGTGTTAGATTATGTGCTTGGTAGCTCGTGCTATTTTCAAACTGCCAGCAGGTATATATCACGAGTATATATATATATATATATATTTATTTTGCAGCTATGTGAAGGGTCTTATTTCATGTGGAAAAATGTAACACAGTAATCTTTGCTCTTGGCCTGTCTCCTTTTTGCATATTTGAAAGTGGTGGATGTTATCACAGAGGTTAGCTTGAGTGGTACTTGTTGAGGTGACTAAATTAGGCAATATCTAAATTACTGATGTTTTTGCAAAGGAAAGTTGTGGGGTTTTTTTTTCCTTTTTTTTTTTTTTCCTCAGAAGATCCATGTGTCTGTTATTTGGGGATTTTTTTTCCCTTGTGAATTGCCTTGGCATTATAATTAGGAAGGAGTATTTTACTGTATTCTGCAGTGACGGTCCTGGAGGACCATTGATTAAATCCTCTTAATATAAAAGCTGAAAAGCTGAGCTCAGAAGAGACCCTTGAATATCCATCAGCATGATCCAATGGGAAAAGCGGACATAGAGCTGACATAACTCTGAAATACTGAGATGTTTCCATAGAGCTTCACATAAGAAGGAGGTGGACTACATTGACCACACAACAGTATGTTCAGTTTGTGCTTTAGCAGACCGTATTTACTGAGGTAATTCAGCTCACTTTGAAGGAGCATTACTGTCCCGGGATGTGCCCTTTAATTTAATTTAGTTTTGAAGAGGCTTCTTCATCTGAGATGCTTAGAGCAGGTGAATGGAACTATGGTTCGTGGTGCTCTATTCTACTTGCGTAACTAGCACCTTGTGGTGCAAGTGTCGTGGGCTTGCCCTTTACATCCCTGGCAAGCTTAAGAATTTTACTCCTACTTTCCCCTCCTGAAAGGAAGAAGCACCAATAAGGAGATTTCAAAAGGATGATGACTGCAAGTGTGTGGCTGGATAAGGTTCAGAGATTGCCCTTGGTAGCCCGCTGGCCCCAGAAAACAAGCTTAAAACTATTGTTTTAAGCCAACTACAAACTACTACACAACCAAACTACAAATTTGGTTAATTAGCACGCTAATAACTGCTAGTGCGTGTTGTCATTGTGTGCAGAATAATGAATGTTCCTACCCAGTAGGGTCCCTATGGGGAGAGACAGGCTCAGCCCATCTAGCGATCCCAGAAGTTAGGATGCAGCCTTCCCTAACTTCTCCCCTTCTTTGTTCACTTTTATTTACATATTTTACATTTTCTTTACATTTAGGGTCGCTTGAGTGACTCTAGTCAGATATACTTTGGTTATTGGTGTAAAATTCTCCGGGTTTTCTCTCGAAGGCAGCAGAAACCCCCCGCTTGCTCGGCGGGGGGTGCCCACACCTCGGTGACGCGGGACGGAGGCGCGCGGTGGTGACACTGCCCTGAGCAGCCCCCGTCCCGTGAGGCGGGACCCAACGGTTGAACCCAACGGCCAAGCGAGCGCGGCGCCCACAGACGGCCGCTCCGGGCCGGGCTGCACCTGCCGGCGCCGCCACGAGCCTCGCAGCTCGCCGGGCTCCCTCACGGCGGGAGGGCGGGAAGGCGCTGAGGCGGCGCCGCCGCTTCCCGCCGCTGCCCCGTGACCGCCGCTCCTCCCCTCGCAGAGCCGCCGACTTAACCTGGTTTCGCGGCGCCGGCCCGGCCGCTCCGCCCTCTATTTTTTTTTCCTCCCTTTTTCTTTTCCTCCCTCCCCTTCCTCCTCCTCCTCCGCCGACCGCGTAGCCGGGGCTCGCTTCCCTCCTCCCCCTTCCCCTCCCCTCGAGCCGCCGCCGCGGTAGGAGCCGCAGAGAGGCGCCGCCTCCGCCGCCACCGCACACGGAGACATGTACCCGGGAGCCACCTCGGCCGGACCCGGTGAGGCTCCGGGGGCCGCTCGCGCCTTCCCCTCCCCGCCGCCTCCCTCCCCGTCCCTCCGCGGCGCCGTTTGAACGTTGCGGCCGTTGGCGCACGCGGCGCTCTGTCAGCGTGAGGCGCCGCACGCGCCCCCCCCCAGTCCCCCCCCTCCCTCCGCGAGGCGCCAACGGTCGCCGCGAGGGAAGGAAGGGGGGACCCGCCGCCATCCCTCGCTGCTCCCCTCCGTGCCCGCCGCCTTCCCGGGCCTGCCGCAGCCTCCGGGGCCGCCTGGGCGCGCGGAGGAAGGAGGGCTCGGGCCGCCCCGGCCAGGGAGGCGAGCGTGTCCTGAGGCCCCTCGCAGGGGGAGCGGGGGAGAGGAGGGTCGCGCGCCGTTCGCGCCGCCCGCCCCGAAGCGGCTCCTTCCCTCACGGGGGCTCCGGAGCAGCGCGGAGCGGCCGCCTCGTCTCCCGCTGCCTCCGCCGGCCGCGCAGCGGGGACGGGGGGGGTCTCCATTTGCTCGCTGGCGGCCGCCGCGTCCCGCCCGGCACCGCGTGGAGCACAGAGGGGCTGGTTGTAGCCCCGGGTGTGGGGCAGCGTGGCCGAAGCGGCGCTCGACGGGGCATTTTTGTTTTATTTATTTGGTGAGGAAAATAAAGCGCTAGCAGCTTGTTCGGATTCCCTCGTGTTGTTTAGGGGGGAAGGTGGGTTAAAATAGGGAGCACTCGCAGGGGATGGTGCTTGAATTTGGCTTTCTGGGCTGCTTCTGCAAGGAGCGTTCCCTTCTAATGGAGAAACTTTTTTTTTTTCCCCCCTTGGAAAAGTTTTAAAATAAGTTGAAACTTACTATATTTTCTTGATATTCTGCATAGTTATTATTTCTTTTTTTTTTCCCTTGGAGGGATGATTTAGTAAGGAATAGTGTGGAGAAATAAATACAGGACCTGTAGCTGGGAGGCCTTTGCTGACTCTCTTGAATGCTGCTAATCTGCATTAGGTGAGGGTTTTGAGATCAGGATCTCCTCTTTGGAAAAACAGAGGAGATGTATTCTTCCTTGCTTTTCTCCCTTCATGTTCATTGAAATTCAGGAAAGTATTTACTAGATACAGCAAAGTACAGACTGCTGTAGCTCTGTGTATCCAGACTGATCATGTTCTGTGTTTTATGTAGCTTTTTTTTCTGTTTCAGTACCAATGACTGCATATAAAATTCACTTTATCATTTGCTTGGCTCCTAGTGCCAGGTTCTCTAGTTCACTTCCAGCATGCAGGTAATCTTGGTGCTTAAACTGCTATTGCAAAGGCCATTAAGTTCACCTTTGCTACATCTTTTGTAAAATTATATGAGAGTTCTTTGCTTGGTGTTTATTTGTTTTAAAGGAAGGGAGTAACTGAAAAAAGGTTGCCTGCAGATGGGCCGAGCGTAGGTTTATGTGTGGGAGCAGCCACTATCTCCATTTATTTGCTCTTTATCTGATCCCACGCTGTCCCTTCGACACAGAGTGATCCTGCTGCCACAGTGCTGGCACTGGTGCTTGCTGTTTACCCTGGGCACCCAGATTCAGTGTGTGTGGGTTTTTTTTTTTTTTTTTTTTTTTTTTTACCCTCTTATCAGAACAACCCTGTGTGAGCCCCAGCGAACAAACACGGTGCCTTTGCTGAGCCGCTCGTCTTCTCCAAACAGTGCAGTCTCCTGCCTCCCTGCAGCCCAGCTCATCTCCTGCCCTGTTTACTTCCCAGTTTATCTTGGGTGCAGCCTTTTTGCTTCTGCAGAGCTGGGCAAGGGCAGTGCCTGGGCTGGAGCACGAGCTGCAAGTTCTCTGCATCATGAGGCTCTCCGTTTCCTTCCTGCACACCCGTCCACAGGGAGCCACCGTGCAATGCTTTATAGCAGTCCAAAAACTTCCTGCTCTGCATCAGGTCACACAGGATCTGGGATGAGAAGTTCTAGGGAGAAAAGAGCTGCATTGCGAACCAGTCTAGAAGTAGAGGCTTAGTTGTCTCCTGCAGTCCAAGTGTGCCATGCCAGTGCCCTTCCATACGTTAATCTGATACGTATCAAGTGAGCGTATGCCGAGGAACGAGCATGCGGGAGCGCGGTTTGCAGGCGCTCCGTACGGGAGCATAAGTGCGGGAGATATCCACCCCCCTACGTGTCTGTCACCACATCCTTGACGCTGCTTCAACTCTCCATTCAGATCTCTCCTAGCTCAGATCTGGAGTGCTGCTGCTGCCCATGAGCTACTTGACTTCTGCTCCTGTCACCAAACTGGGCACCAAACCAGCCCCGTTCTGAGGGTGTTTGTGGTGTTGGCCCTCTGCCAACGGAATCACTCATTTTGCCACAGGGCTTGCTATTTTAATCTTTTTTTTTTTCTTTTTTTTTCTTTCTGGAAGCAATATAAAGCAAGTCAGGAGCCTGAATCTGACTAATTTTAAAAAATTGCAGCCAGACGTGGAAACTTTGTTCTGACATGTTGTTACATTGAGGTGTAAGATATTTTTATACAAGATTTATATAAAATCTTGTATAAAAATTTTACTCTCACTTCTTGATTAGAAATCTATGATCTCTGTCTCCTTTCTGTCTCCTTTTTTTTCCCAAAGTGTTGTTCAACTTTGAGATCTGTACTAAGTCTTGTGTGCCGAGACTTGGCACCCACATTCTTTTCTCCCTCAAGAAGCCATAGAAAAACTAAAATTTTGAACATGTGAATCTTAATAAGAAAAAAGTTTAATTTTGATGCTTTTTAGGATGTGTTTTTCTAGAAGGACACGAGAATACCGAGAAGGTGTAATAAAAAAGCTGTTGCTAGATCAGTTTAGTTTGAGGAAGTGATAGAAAGTGATTTAAACTTGCATTAAACTTTTGAAGCTTGCACTGTTTTGCATTTACATATTTGTAAATTCTAAACTTTGCATGTTAGAGATACTGTCCTTAGTTTTTGTTTGAATATTTGGTTTTGCTTGTTACCTGAGGTTTTAATTTGTTGTCAAAGCAGTGCTTACCTGAAAAAAAAGCGACTTCATCAAGGGAGTTGTGGCTTTACATATAAAATACCAGGAAAAAGAATTACTTTCTCTATGAGAAACAAGTTTGACCGTGTTTTCTGCAGCAGGCAATTGGACTGGAGTTTGGATTATCTTATCACTTGTCATTTAGTTATAAAGTACCTTTTTAAAATTGTTAATGTAATTTTGAAACTTTTTAAGTCTTTCTTGTTTTTTTGGTGCGTGCACTTATGTTCAATACATAAGTTCTTCTTGAAGATACATGATGGTTGAAGCTGATTATCTTTGATAGTTAATTTTGTTGTGGGAAAGGGCTGAGGTGGTAGAAAACACAACATCTTAATGTGAAAAACTTAACTCTACCTGCTTCTTCTTAGCACCTACCTCAGTAGCACCACGATCTTTTCCCTTGCCCAATCTTTCACTTCTTAATGCCTCTTAATTTTATTTTTAGGTTGGAACTGGGCCTTTCCATATTGTGCTATCCTTCTGCTGTCGCATGGTTGTAGATATTTTTGGGGGGAGAGAGCTTAAATTTTAGAAAGAAAATTATATTACATATGACAACTTATTATGAATTTCAGAGGAGGAAATGAGAATTTAATGTATAGCCTTCATTTTACTTATGAGGCACTTTCTTTCTTAAACTTAACTCGCATTTGACAACCTTAAAGCGTGCAAAGCAAAATTAACTGTTTAAAAATATTGCTGTCATGGCTAGTATATTTTCCAAAGAAAGAAAAAGATTCCGTATTACTGTTTCCATTAGCTGTGTAGTTTTAGGTGGCGTAAAGATGAGGTAGTTTGTTGGTGAGAGCATGACTGATACTGTCATATGTACAAACCAGCTTTCTCCTTTTCTTAGTGAACCAGAGTTGCAAAAGATTCACTACTTGAAAAGCCGCAGTTTCCAGCAGTGATTCTGGCAGACCAACTGTGTAGTAATGGAGGGTTTTAGTACATTTATTTTTCCATCAACTTGAAGTATTTCACTTTTGCAGAAACATCAGGCACTCATATATTCAACTGTGCTTTGTAATGTATATAGGAAGAGGGTATAGGTGGTGTGGAGCATCTAGAGCTTTCTGACTTCGAGGGAAGTGCTATTTTCATACTTTTCTGCTCTGTTAGCACCATTATTTTTTCCCTGTTTCACAAGAGAGTGGGGAAGGCAGCTAAACACTTAGGCTTTGCAAGAGAAAACTGGTGGCTCTCCTCTTTAAACAACACAAGAGGAAAGTTTCTGCTATTCCAGAAAATTGAGCACTTCCAGGGACTTCTGTTCATCCAGAAATTGTATAGTTTGAACTGATGGAGGCAGGAAACTTCTAACTGCTAAGCTGGCTTTGCAAACATATGCAGTTCCCATTAGCTAGGAACTTTATGTGTAACAAAAGCCTTGCTTGTATGAGCTAAGCATGTGTTCTCTGTAGCTTCTCAAAACTTGTAGGACTTGTCAGATTTTTTGGGGGAGTTACATTCCTCATTTCGAGTTTTAACAGCATACTGGGGCTTATTTTTAGTGACAATTTCTAAAGCTCACATCCCGGAAGATATTATTCAACTTTGAGATACAGTCTCTGGCTTAAGTGGCAAATAAGAAAAGCCTTAAATATCTAATTTTATAAGTTGTGAACTAGAAAACAGTATCTGTTGGGAAAAATCTTCTGTAGTTTTACCTGCAACCATTGTGGGTAAGGATTCAGCCTGTGCATGATCTAAATATCAGGCATCGTTTCTGATATTCATGAAAAGCAGCCTGTTGACAAGGAAAGTGGCCCTGTCAACGAGGTAAGTTTTCCACTTTCCAACCTAGAACAATTAGAACTTTTTTTACTGTCCAATGTATTTTAATATCCCAAGCTGCATTTATTTTTTTTCCAAAGTTTTGTGCTAACAAAATCTGGAATGTATAAGACAGACCAGAATAGCTTCAGTCCCAACAAGATTGGAGCAGCATAATGTGTCTCATGCCTTGCTCTAGAGTTGTAATTCAGTAGTGCACTGTTTTC